GGAAAAGATAAGAACCAAGATGGATTATGTAAAGGTACAATTCCCAATGAGAAATGTAATTGTGTTGTATACCTACAATGTACCAATAAAATAATACAAAAAAAAAAGAGAAGGAGAGAGAAGAAAAGAAAAATAAAGAAGAAATACGAATCGGGCAGAACAGGAACACAAAGGGAGATGAAGAACAATGTGGGACAGCGAGGGAGAGAGAAAGAAAAGAGAAAAGAAACATTTTAAAAGAGAAAAGAGAAAAATATAAAAAGTAAGAGCAAAAAAAGTGGTAATTTTGAAAATAAAAGATAAAAATGAAGGGCCTCCTTCAGGGTATATCTCTCCTGTCACAATAAACAACGTGGGCAGCAATGTGCAGTTATAAGTCAATGATTCTCAGTAGCCAGTCACAGACTTGTGAGATTCAGGCAGATTTCTGGGTGCAAGTCCCAAGTTGAGCTCCCTGTCCTCCTGCAGGCTTAAACCCTGCAAGATTCTATTACAGGTTCCAGCTGCCTTTCCCCTGAAAATAGTCCAGGTTCAAATGGGAGGTGATGATCCCTCCAGCTTACCAAGTACAGTGGTCTGGTGTGCCTTTATTGCAGAGAATCTCTTCACTTTTCCAGTGGGCTTCAGTTTTCATCAGGGAGCCTGAGAGAGGCCCTCTCTCTGTAGTTCACTTCTGCAGCTCAGGACAATGGCCTTTATGTTCCCCTGTGACTCTATAGTGTGGAACCAGGTAGCTGCACACCCAAGAGGCCAGAGGCGGGGGGCGGTGGGGGGGGTCCTGTTGTTGCAGGGTCTGCCCAGCTAAGCTGGAGGCTGGTGGGTGTGCTGGGGAGGGGGCGGTTCTCACAGTCTCTTGGATGCAGGTGGTTGGGGCAAGCCGGATGGAGCAGGTCGCCTCCACCTGCAACCATTTTGACCTCAAGGGCCAGCTGGTGGCTGGTCTCCCTTAAGTATTATAGTACTGTATACATACTAACATTTAGGAGATGAAAAAAACCAGCTTATTACCTTGTAATATGCAGACTGGCTATAGCCAAATTCACTGGTACTGTTTTTTCTATTCAGATATAAATGTCCTGTATACATTCAGGCTTTTTGTGCTGAGTAGTTTCTGACATTCGTTGAGGCATTTCTAGGAAAGTATTCTGTTGATCATACATAGAAATATCTTTCTCTTCACAGTAGAATTTCTGGTGTGTTTTTTTTTTAACATTACAAACATGGTTGATTTTTTTAATATACTGATAAATTGATGTCTGAGAGACACATTCTCAGACTTTCCCTTTGTGTTTTTATGTAGGTGAGACAGGCATTGGCAAATCCACATTAATGGACACTTTATTCAACACTAAATTTGAAAGTGACCCAGCTACTCACAATGAACCAGGTGTCCGGTTAAAAGCCAGAAGTTATGAGCTCCAGGAAAGCAATGTTCGGCTGAAGCTAACCATTGTCGACACAGTGGGATTTGGAGACCAAATAAATAAAGATGACAGGTACGTGTTCAGATATTGTGGGGCTATAAATGGGTGAAGAGATAGTAGGATCTATCCTGGGTCAATTCAAATGCTAAAGGTTTGTGTTATTTTCTATTTGTGGGGCTTGGTCCTCTTACCACCTAAAAGATATGGCATTCTTGTCCTCAGAGAAATTTTCTGGGAATATTCTTTTTTGAGACCACAAAATTGATTCTAGCTGGGGTAAGCAGAAAAGGAGTTTGCTAGGAGGAATAAGGTAGCCTATGCCATTTTTTCCAGGAACATTTGAGAGCCAGGTTTTGGGGTTTTCCAGCTAGGAAAGTGAGAAATAACCATCTACCCTGCAGCATGGTATTAACAGAAGTGCCTCCTGTGAGCTGCCTCTCACTTTGTGGGACCTGTGACCCTGGAGGAGGGCTCCAGAATCTCCACATCTATCCCAGCCACCAAGTGTCTTCACCATTGTGTCTCCTTGTGTGTGGCTCTGCTTGTATTGCTCACTCCCATCTTCCAGGCCTTGCACAGCTGCATCTGCTGGCAGAAATTGAGCCACATCCAGATACTAGGTGAAAGAGATCCTGGAAGATAGGGCTTTCAGTTTTTTTAGTTCTATAGAATAAGTCATTAAAAAGTAAAAGGAATTTGGATGAGCATCTGCCATGCTGTCCTAGTCTCTGAGGCAGAATGGGTTATTTGACCTAAAACCCAAACACAGTGAGATGAAAACTGAATCATATGATTTTGTATAAAAAGCCATAGCCCAGGACTAGGAGACTACACTCTGGTCTGGGTTTTGCGAGTAAGAAGCTGTGGACCCTGGGAATATACCTGATTGGAGATGAATATACTATGCTCTCTCAGGTGTTTTCCAGTTCCTAGTATATGTGAAAAGTTGAGCTTCAAAGAGGGATGTTGTAAATATGAGGGGTTAGCCTATGTTTTGATGTTTTTTGGCAAAAGTAATTTTAGCCCTTAAAGCCTCACAGGGAAGCAAGCATTTTTATGAATGATCTGCTAGAAAAATGTTAACTGAATTTCCAGCTGGCATAGGATCTTCACTCTGGTGGTCATGGTATGGTGTGAGGGCCTTGTGAGTTCTCTTATGAAGTGTCTGGATCTTCCCTCAGGTTGCTCAAAGGTGGGAAGCACTTTGGATATAGAACTTGCCAAACTGAGTCTGAATAATGATAGGGGTCTCAGTCAAGCCTATTGAGGAATTCAAGTTAATTGAATAGATTAAAGTTTTCTAAGCAGAGAAGATTTGTTAAGCTGGTTAGGTAATTTATATAACAAAATTCTGTGTACATGTGGAAAAAGGACATGTTTAGCCTACTTAAGAAACAGAATATTTTTTAAGCATTTTGGTCCAGTAGTTTTGTGTAGATCAAGGTTCCTAGCTACCAGTCCATTCTTGCATATTCATTCGTGAAAACTATCATTCTTTACATAAACTTGAAGATGTAATTATAAAATAATATAGTGAGCTTTTATTTTATAAAATACACTTACCCCGTATATAAAGCCATCTAGGTTTGGATCTTCTGTATGGACTGCTGTTTCCCCTTACTTGAGGGGTGTTATAATCTTTGAATGGGGCTGGGGATTTAGCTCAGTGGTTCTGCCGCCTGCCCCACAAGCACAAGGTCCTGAGTTTGATCCCCGGTTACCAAAAAGAAAAAAAAATCATCTTTGAGGTCTCCTAATCCAAATCCTGCTCCCAGGATTGTATTTGTATTCCTTCTCAAGAGCACCAGTCCTATTCAATCTCGAGTTTAAATTAGTCACAATTATTATTATTATTTATTTATTTTTGGTACTGGGGATCGAACTCGGGTCCTTGTGCTTGTGCAGCAGGCGGCGAAACCACTGAGCTAAATCCTCAGCCCCACAATTATTTTTAAATATTACATTCATTCTCTAAAGAAGTTAGGGGAAGTTAACACTCACATTTGACAATGGTTCTAGACTGAGACTTCAGATATATTTTTGAGCTATGACACCTACAGGAATGTCCCATGCAGTTACCAGCAGATAAAAAGTCGTGGTATGTTTCTTAAAGGCTTAGAAACTTCATTAATACCAGGTTTTTGGTTTTTAAACAAATTGCCCTGAAGTCAGGCGTGGTGGTGCATGCCTATAATCCCAGCACTCAGGAGGCTGAGGCAGGAGGATGGCTAGAAGTTTGTGGCCAGCCTGGGCTGCATAGTGACTTCAAGGCCGCCTGAACTGCATAGCAAGACCCTGTCTCAAAAACAAACAAATAAACAAACAAACATATATCCTGAAAACTGTACATGTTACCTATCCTTGTTTTGTAAAGAGGAACTTTTGAACTATTTTTATATAGAAATGTGCTTTGTCTAGATGTATTTTAACAATCCTTGACATGAATATGAGTGCAACAGTACTGATAGAAATATTTAATCCATTCTTTGAGCTCTGAGCTCTTTTTGTATCTCTAGAGCACTTTAAAGGCTCCTCAGGTGTTTCCCTGTGGGAGTAGGAGCAGTTGTTAGATGCAGTGAGAAAGACTTTTTGTTGCATCTGGTTAGAGTGGACACTGTACATCATGCTGGAGCAGGGACACCTGAGCTCTGACACTGCAGCTGAGCAGCAGCTTCTGACCTTAATGCCAGGGAATGACACAGAGGTTGCTGGCTGAAGGCTGCTTGTAATGCCAAGTGAAATAAATGAAGAGCAAATGCTTGCGACAGGAAAAAGGGTGCAGCAGCATTGTGGAAGGGGGTGGGTAGAGCATTTGAACATTGCAAAGTCATAGAACCCATGTGGGGCAAGGCCTCATCTCCAGTTCTCAGCCCAGACAGATTCTTCCAGGGGTTAGAGAATCTCATGTTTGTGCATTGCCTGATTGGGCCTTGTCTTAGTTACTTTTCTCATTGCCGAGACAGAATACTTGATACCCAAAGTAAAAGGAAGAAAAGTTTAAGCTCACAGTTTGTAGAGGTTTAAGTTCATAGTTGGCTAGCTCTAAGGCAAGGTGGTATTGCAGAGGAGAAACAGTTCATGACAGGCAGAAGGCAATGAACTACAGGTGATAAGCAGTGACCCTCTTTCAGTCCATTGTGTCCTATCCAGGCTACCAGCCCTTTAGGGCAGGTAGCACTCACACCCACGGTGGGGTACCCTTAATCCTACCCAGAACTATGCCAAACCAGTCAGTGGATTAATTAGTAATCAAACACCCTTGATCATGGCATCACACGCTCCAGGTGCAGGCACCTCTGAAAAGCCCTACCTATGACTCCATGAGGCTTTGGAGACATCTAGAGACTCAGGACAGGCCTTTTTGGGATTCCCACAGGACTAAGTATGTCTTCTATCTGGCATCTTATTGCCAAAATTACATGTGCCCACTGGGCATGGTGTCACGTGCCTGTAACTACTGATGTGGAAGGATTATGATTTCAAGGCCAGCTGGGCAACTTGGTAAGACTCTGTCTCAAAATAAAAAGGGCTGGAGTGTACCTCGAGTAGAGCATGGTCCTAGCATTGACTAGGCCCTGGGTTCACTCTTTAGCACTGCCAAAAAAAATTTTAAGAAAAGAAAAGAAGAAATGATTCTATGTGCTCTTCCAGCCTCAGACTAAGGGGTTTCACTCAGTGTCACTGAGTGACAAATAACTAAGCAAGCACAATGCAAGTCCTCATATTTGCAGCTGGAGTCTTCTTTAAGAAATTGTCTGACTCATTTGGGTCAAATAATAGTTTCCAAGGAGATCTAGAAGAGAGGAAGTGTAATGTTAACTTAACCTAGATACCAAATATTTTTCTTCTGAAATTTCTTGACAGCTGTTGCATAATCTCTTTGAATGACATTTGAAATTCGTCGGTACCCTGTGCCTCAGAAGGCATTGTTGACACTGATTACAAACCCAAATGACTTGTTTAAAAATAGTTATTTGGATGGGCTTTGCTTCCATCAAAAAATTGGAAGTGGGATGTGCATTTTTGCAGTGGTATGTAACCATATGGAAAGGGATGTGCTCTTTCTCTAATCTGTGATTATTTTTCTTACTTTGGGAATTAGGCAAGCTTTTTTGCCATACATGTAAGACTTCAAGAATGTCCCAGTTAAAAAAAAAAAAAAAAAAGAATGTCCGAGTTTGTTTATGTAGGCTTCGGACATGTCAGCATTCCTGCATCATTATCCGCCTCTGGCCAGGCTATCTAGAAGGAGGTAGGGAGGCAGATCTGGTAAGGTTTCTTGTTACATGTAACTCTTTTTTTGTTGTTGTTCAAGGGCTTACTTGCTTTGGCTGTCTGTACTCTTTGGGAAAGAAGGAAAAGGGTCCAAAGAAGAGGGGAAACCAAGCTTTGCTTTCCAGCTGTGATGGAATTGTTACTGCCCCACTTTGGGAGATGGGAGGTGGGCTGTCCATGGCATATCATGAACTGTAAGGATAACCTGGAAGAGCATGGGTGATCAGAATCCACAGAGAGAGAAAATCTTCAAGCACATCAGATCTTTATGAGAGTCATACAATAGTAGTGAAGCAGACTGTTTGCCTTTTAATTTTTTTATTATACTTTCTAGCAGAGTTAGTCCAGGGGTAAAGAAAATTGTCTTCACTAAGAGATAATAGGAAGATAAGAGGAAAACATGATTTGGTCATATGTACAATGGAGATTCAGTCCCTGCATGAAGACATTGGTCATTTTGTAAGAATGATCAGTAGGTAGGATGGATGGACAAAAAAAGATAACTTTTCTAGCAATTTCGGGTCTACATCTATGATTTTATTGCATTTTTTAATGGATGGAGTTACATGAATAACAGTGAGCCAGTAACAAAGGCTATTGCCATGTCTTAACAGGAAATGGAAATTATACGAAAATGGAAAGACTTGTTTGGCTCCTGTCCCCCCCCCCCCACACACACTTGGTATGGCTATAATCTAGAGAAGTTTAAATTGGCCTCACAGAATATAAATAGGTATCCTCTTTTTTTTTGGAGACAGGTTCTCGCTTTGTAGTCCAGGTTGTCCTTAAACTCACTGTGTAGCCCAGGCTGGCCTCAAACTTGAGGGAATCCTCCTGCCTCAGCCTCTTTAATGCTGGGATTGTAGGCATGCATCACCATGCCTGGCTGGGTATCCTTTTTTACAAGTAGAAACTAGCAAAAGGCAAAGTTGGGATTAAGGCTTTTTCTTTCTTCTGATCATAAATACAGATAACAAGTAGAAAGGAGATGGTTGAAGGAAGGGGCAGAAAATTTGTTTCTGGGATTATGACTGGGACTATAAACCACTTAGCAGGTTTGTTTCTCATCAAGAGGAAGCTGCTTCATTTGCATAATTAAATGTTTGACACAGGAAGTGGTGGTTTTGGTAACCAGATCTCCAGGAGAATCTTGGTTTCCTTGTTTATAATGACACAGAAGGTAAGATAAGAACAATTTCATGCTTTCTAAGAAAGAGGAGGTCTCTGGGTTGTATAGTCACACCCTCACCATGCTGAGGCATACAGGGTCTGAGGGTGTTGGCAGGGGAAAGAGTTCGGTTTTGGACAGATTTAGTTAGAAGAACAATTGGAAATATCTGAAAGCAGTTTGGCAGATGGGTCTCTGAAGCTCAAGGGAAAGATCTGGGCTGGAGTAGAAATGTGGAACTTACCGTCAGTTAGAGGATCAATGAAACATGGCAATAAACATGATTTTTCCGGAGACCACAGAGCATGGGAAGAAGGGAGATTGAAGGATAGGCCAAGAGTGTCCAACAGGGGCAGGCGAAGGAGGCCTAAGATGTGAGAAGAGAACAGAAGATTTGTGAATCCAGCTAAGAAATGTCCTTACCAAGAAAGGAGAGATGCTATACTTCCCGTGACTTTTGGAGGATTGGAATCAAAACCAGAGGCAAGAAGGGACATTAATAGAAAACAGAAGTGTACTTGGACTACTGTTGAGAAGAGACAGAGAGCTCAAACTAAGAATCTGGGGAGGCATGAGGGACAGACGCTATGAGCTGCTTCTCCTCCCCATAGGCTAAGAGGGTGCCAGGGATGACCCCCAATGCTGGGACACCTGCTTCAGTGTCAGGCAACTGAAGGGTCAGACCCTGGGACAGGTGAGCCTCCTTGGAATGGCCTGTCCACTTTGCCATTCAGGGCATGCTCTCAGAAGCAAAACCCTCAGCAGAGCGTAGAGTTCCCTGTGAGGGCATAGAATTCCTGTGGGTTTGGGTTTTGTTTTTTTCTGGTGTGTGTGCGTGTGCATGTGTTTGGTCTTTTAAACCTCAAACTACTTTTATCTATTTTTGATTATATTATGTTTATAAAATAAGTGTATGTTACCTTGACGTGCCAGTCTTTTCTGATCGAAGTACATTTTTGTCCTTGCTTTCCTTGTGAGGAAAATGGGACACAGAGAGGTTTAGTGATTTGTCCAAAGCCAATCAGGCAGTGTCTGAAGCTAGATTGTGGTCTGAGGCATCTTACTTGAATCTAAGTGTCTAGCCACCATCCTAGGTAACCATCCCATAATAATTAGGGTTGTTGTGGTATAACACTTGCCTATATTTTAAAATTAGAAAATAGGGAAGAATCTTATTACTTGCTCACCCTCTTTTGAGATTTTCCTGTTATGACTCACAGCTTTTTAATTGCTGAGGCATAATCTACTTTTTTTAAACACTTGAGAGATTCTGTGTGCTTCAATTGAATGAAAGGATTATGATCAAATCACCAAAGAAAAATACCATCAAAAACTATTTTTACTGACTGTTTTCAGCTGAGGCCATACATTTGTTGTTGTAATTTATTTGGGGGGTGGGTGTTTGGTTTTCTTTTTCTTGGAGTATCTGCTGACATCCTTTTTATAAAAGACTTGCAGTGTCCTTTCAGGGTCTTCAGTTTAATTTATGGGTTGGAGATTTGGATGTTGAAAGCTTTTTAATTTTCTTACAACTTAAATCATTCCTCAGAAGGCAGTACAGCTGGGGAGAACTAACCCTTAAGATTCCTAATTGAGGGCTGGGGATTTAGCTCAGTGGTTTCATCACCTGCTGCGCAAGGACCCAAGTTCGATCCCTGGTACTGCCCCCCCCCCCAAAAAAAGATTCCTAATTGATCTCTTTGCTGCTGAAGTGAATTTCTCCTGAGCAGTTGTCCCTTTGGAGACATGGAAGGATTAGTGGATTTCCCACAATAACCTAACCTACTGCCTGAGGAGCATGTACTTTATTGAATACGTATTCCCAATATGCTATTAATGGTCATGTTTATGGTCAGCTCATCATACGTAATTGTTTAAACTATGATTGGGTGAGGAAAGGAGGGTTACAGAGTTTGCCTTTAATTATATAGTTTCCAAGTTGGAAAGAGTTTTGAAGATCAAAGTGCAGGCTCCTCCATTTCTAGAAGCTCTTGAATGTGCACAGGGTCTGTGGGAGCACAGGGTCCCTGGTCTCTGGAGGGAACGGGCAGGGGAAGAGGACTGGGAGAAGTTCCCAGGGGGTGGCAATGCCATGGCCTGAAATCACAAACCAGTTTTACTTCATTAGTTGTCACTTGGTTGAGGCTTTCAGAGTCACTTTATTGAGATGGATTTGGAGGTAGTTTTGACCCACCAGGAAGGAATGACACACCCCTTTTAGCAGTATCCCCCATGGGTACCACAGGAGAGGAGGCAGCATGCCCTACATATTTATAGTCTCTGGGTTTTTGTTTTCATTTTACTCATTCATTCATTCATTCATTCATTTGTGGTACTGGGGATTGAACCCATGATCTTCACTGAGCTACATCCCCAGCCTTTTTTTTGTTTTAGTCTTTTATTTTGAGATAGGATCTTGCTAAATTGCCAAGGGATCCTCCTGCCTCAGTCTCCTGAGTAGCTGGGATTACAGCCATGTGCTGCCATTCCCACTATAGTGTCTAACAAAGGATAAGTTCAGCAAGAAGAGTAAGGAGAAAGACTTCCATTGGAGGGGTCAGCCTGAGCAGAGGCACAGAGGCAAATGACAGCTGAAGTATGGGACCAGTATGCATGGTTGTGTGTTGCTAGGACAGAATACACAAGCCAAGGAGGGAGTGGGAGAGATCAGTGAGCCTTGGAAGTTGTTCAGAGGCCAGGTGATGAAGCACTTGGATGCCAAGCTTATGGAGAGGATGGAGCCATGGTGATGTTTCAAAGGAGATGGCCTACACTGAACTGCAGAGGAGATCTGAGAACAGAAACATGGTGATTTAAAATGTGTTTTCCAAACATTCTTCTGCATTCTAGCTATAAACCGATAGTGGAATACATTGATGCCCAATTTGAGGCCTACCTGCAAGAAGAACTGAAGATCAAACGTTCTCTCTTCAACTATCATGACACAAGGATTCATGCCTGCCTTTACTTCATTGCTCCTACTGGACACTCACTAAAGTCCTTGGACCTGGTCACCATGAAAAAGCTGGACAGTAAGGTATGGGTTGCCGTTTCAATTACCATCCTCTCGCCTGTTAGGTCATCTTTTCCTAAGGCCCCAGTTTACTCTCTGCTTTCAGTATAATTTATTTTTTCTGGATTATAAAGTCATAGGGTTTGGTGGAGGTATGGGATGAGGAGGTACGGAAACCTTTCTTCAGGCCATTTGATGTTGTGCTTTAGCCCCTGGGAACTGGAACTGGGCCCTTGCTCTATTGATGGCAGGGTCTTGGGCAAGGAAGGCTGCTCCCCCTGCTGCCACATCCTTAAAAGCCCACTCCCCACTTTTCTTGGGAAAACCAGTTTTCCACAGATAGCCTGAAGGAAGTAGAATGACATACTTTTTTTTTTTTTTTTTTCCAAACTCAGGACCTTGTGCTTGCCAGGCAGGTGCAGTACCACTAAGCTACATCCCTGGCCCTGAGGTGGGTTTCTAACTGAGGTCCAAGTATGTTGCTCAAGCCAGGATGATATCACATAAAGTAACTATGTTTTGATTTAAAAAGGAAAAAGAAAAAAGCCAAAACAAACACAACTAATACAAACAAACCAAAAAACCCAACCACAAAGCAGGTTAAACTTTGAAATAACTGAATTATTATATAGTGGGAGAGTTAGGTAGCATCTTAAAATGGTGTTATCGAAGTTTGGTTACACAAGTAAAGGGAAAAGGTAGGCAAACATGGTCATTTCACAGAGGTTGTTCAAGTTCTTGTTAAAGAGAGAAGAGAGATTTTAAAATTAAATTGCTTGGTTTCTCTATCAACTCTGATTAATTTGGCTAAGAAAACATGAACCTCTGCCCTTATGTCCAAGTTGGTAATCATTGAGTACTTAATGTGTACTCAGCCAGTATGCACCACGGGGAAGTGCCTGTGCTTTGGGTCCTGACCCAAACATGTCTCCACTGTCATTGGGGTTTCCCTGTGTCCACAGCCTGCTGGAGGAAGCCAGGAGGGGTGGCCAGGGTGGAGGGTGCTCTGGAGTGTACTGAAGAACAGGGCTTATGGGCAGCGAGTCCTAGTGTCTCATCAGGGACTTCAGATTTGGGCCTCAGGATCCCGAGGAGATGCAAAAGAATAAAGGTGACCTCAAAACCCTTCCCAAAGACTCCCTGTTCTTGGGCTAAGTCGCCACCATGGTCTTAGATCACAGATGTCAAAAGCATCTTATTACCTACCAGGGAGAAAAAGACAGTTAATCCTAAAACATGAGTTTAAAAGAATGTCCCACCATGGGGTTGGAGCCTATGCTCTGGGTGCCCCTGGCTCTTAATCTGGGTTATCTGCCATTCATGGCTAATTCCAGTTTTCTCCTGTTCTTGGTGACTGAGGAGGCTTGGGAAGTAACCCTTGCGTTTGACCTTGGGCCTCATTCTGGCATGAAAAAGTAATTTGATAGAAGGCTATTTTCAAAAGAATTAGGTGGTGTGTGTTTGAGACATTTAAAAAGTAGGTGACCTTTTGTTTTGGTTAATACTTAGGTTCTCTTCTCCCAGCAGTTTCCAGGTCATCAGAAGAAAGGACATTATTCTGCACAGAGCTAATTCTGTAGTGCTCTGGCAAACAAGAACGTTGTTAGTGCCCTGTTAGGGCCTGCAGAATGCAAGCATGTAAAGGAGCTGGGAGGGATCTAAAGGGAGGGGTTGGTTATTCAGAGAATAGGCTACTTTGATTACTGCTGTTTGTCATAGAATAATAATACTTCCTTTTACTCTGTAGAGTAGAATGAGTGACGTAGCACTGGAGAGGAAATTACAAGTAAGCTGTCATTGTAGGATGGGAAGAAATTAAAGTGTGCAGAGAGGGAAATAAAGACTATCCCAAGTTGTCTTAATTTTGTGTCTAGTACAAAGTCTGATTTTCAGTATCTTCTGTATTTTTTACAGTGAGGTTTGGAGTTTCTCATTCGCGTCTTTGCTATGTTTTATTCACTTGTCTAAATATTTTTCAGATGTTAGAATTGTAACAGTGGTCATGTTTGTTTTATAGGTGAACATCATTCCAATAATTGCAAAAGCAGACACAATTGCCAAGAACGAGCTGCACAAATTCAAGAGTAAGATCATGAGTGAACTTGTCAGCAATGGGGTCCAAATATATCAGTTTCCTACAGATGAAGAAACAGTGGCAGAGATTAATGCAACGATGAGTGTGAGTCTTCAAGTAATGTGGGGACAGTGGCTTTCCCAGGAGCTTGTTTTAGTGGCTGCATTGCATAGGGAGCTGAGAGGTCTTCTGTTAAGAGTCCAGCTCCACTACCCTGCAAGCCTGTGCTTCAGTTTCCCCAGCTGTCATGGGGGAGTTAGACAGGGTAATCTCTGATTTCCTTTAAGTCTTCTAGGAAGGAAGTGTCAGCCCAGTCCCATTTCACACAGAGCAGCTCACTGGAAAGAGATCTCTGCTTGTTTCTGTCAGTGTTGCCCCTGTTTTGCTTTGGTGGTTGGCTCCTGCATTCCCCTCCATACAATTTTCCTACATTTTCCTGAGTCATCAGGTAAATCAGCAGTTGCAGGTACAATGTCCATATCATGGAGAAGAACAATAAGGAGACAGGAGATGCAAGCCACCATGGTTCTGTGTGCACTTTGAGGTTAATCCCTCCCTGCTGAACCCCCATCCTACCTGTTGCTACCAGGCCCTTCCCAGTACATCCCTGTGGGTCTCTTAACTCTCCTGCATCTGTTCATCTCTCTTTTTGTTTTGAGAATACACAATTTCTGTAAAAACACCATTCTTTGCTCAATAATGGTTGTTGGAAGTCAGGATATAATGTATCTTAAAGAAGCTGAGGAGCAGAATCTTCCTAGGAGATTGGCATGAGGGGTTTGAAAGGATGGATGCTGTAAAAAAGACTGATCATACTCCTTTAAAAGAGCGAAATCTAAGGGGAAAAGAGCTGCAAGGGAATTTTGGGTCTATGAAGTGGATGTGTGACTGCTGGAACCATCGAGGTGGAAGAAATGCCTTATTAGTTAACTAGTTCTCATGGCAAGTGTTTGGTGGGCAACAGATTCTGTTTGAACCCACTTAGCAGATATTCTGTAAAAGGGAATTCGTATACAAAGTAAACAGGATAATATATAGGATCTCTTCCCCCTCTAACATTCTTGGATTATGAGTTTTGAGAGCTTTCCAATCTTAGTTGGAATTTTTGACATTTATGGAACATTTATTGTTTCCTAGACACTGCCTGGGCTTTATATGTAACCCTCACGACAGCCTCATGGGTAGATAATAGTAATTTCTACTTCATGGTGAAGAGCCTGTGATTGCATAGCTTGGGCAGTCGAGGAGGATTTGAACCTCACCAGTGTGGCCCTTGAGCTGACACTCCCACCCTTGAGAATTGGTACCACATACTCAGAACAGTGTGCTTTTCTCATAGCATGTCCAAAGCTCCGGCCAAGATGCCATGCATGTCTGCTATAGAATAGACATCAAATGAATTCCATCTGCTTTCTCATTATATCCCTCTCCATCTTTCTAAACAATGCTTCATGGTCATGAAACTAAATTTATGTTAAACTGCTTGGAAAGAAAATACCCATGAACTTTTGCTCTTTCTGTCAAATAAATGGAACTGAGGATCTTTGACATTCCAGACTAATCCTGCTTTTTATCAAGACATTTTCTGCTAAGCCCTTCATTGCAGACAGTTCTTGCTGATGCAACACTATCTAATGTGTGGAAGCAGAAGAAAACATTTCACTGAAGTTGCTTTTGTTATGCAGAGTTTAGACGTTTACTTGCTCATTTATGCCAGAATGTTGGCTTGAAAATTTCTTTTCCTCTTCAACTTAAGGGAACACGTTTCAATTTCAGATTTGGAGTTTGAGGAAAAGAACCTGCTTTTCTTCCTTTCTACAGAGAGTGAATTGAGCTGGGAAATTAAATATCACACACGATACCAGTGGGGCAACTTAAGCCTAACCTCTTCACTTGAAAATACGTCCTTCCCTTATCCTCAGGGGAGGACACTGGGATAAAGGAGCCCCAGAGAACAATTCTCGCAGCAGCTATTTGAAATTCCCTTATTTTTGTATGCTGATTAGAAAAACATAGACTTAGTTTTCTCCTCCACCCCCTGAATGTAGTCATAACTACCATATAAACCAATATGAAAGAGTCAGTTGTCTTGGACATCATCTCTGCTTGAGATAAATCAAGGTGCAAGGCCTGAGCCAATATTTTGGGCTAACGTATGTTTCTGACTTGAAACTTGTGTAAAGCAGTTCCATTCATGAGATATACAGTATGAGCTCCATAGGTAATTTAAAATTTTCCACTAGCCAAATTAAAAAAAAGCAAAAAGAAACATGAAATTAATAAATATTAACTAATTTTAAGAACCTAATCTAATATATCCAAAGTACTATTGTTTCAACATACAATCGGTTTAAAATTATTGAGATACTTTAAAACTAGGTCTTTGAAATCCAGGGTATGTTTTATTGTGATGGTATATCTCAATTCACATTTCAGATTTTTATCAAATACTTAATCTGTAGTTCTGTTTCACAAAATTTACAGTTAAAAAGCAGATTCACATACTTATGTTATTCTGGACATAAGTACCTAAGATGTACTTTTCCTTTAAATTTGTATCTAACTTGACAAAATTGATCTTTTTGTTTGTTTTGTTTGTTTGAAGTGCATCAAGCGAGCTAGAGTGTCTCCTACCTATTCTGCATGCCCCCACTGTGTAGACAGTAGAGACATCTCCAGAAGGGGAGAAAATGCAGAGTCTGGAGCAGAAGCAGCCTTTGTATGAGTTTCAGAAGATAACCAGTATTGTCTTTTGTTGCTTGGCAGGTGCATCTCCCATTTGCAGTGGTTGGCAGCACTGAAGAGGTGAAGATTGGTAACAAGATGGCAAAAGCCAGGCAGTACCCATGGGGTGTTGTGCAAGGTATGTCCAGCGTGGGAAGGGGACTCAAAATGAGAGCCTGTGGTGAATGCCCCCCCACTCCAGTCTGTGTTGAGAGAACCAGGTATGCTTCCACCTTGGCCTTCCCAACTTTGGTGAAGAAAGAAGCAGCAACCAGACAGCAGGTGGACTAGTAGGGAGAAGTAACTGCCACATCCTGGTGGTGGTGAGCAGCCCCTTAAGATGTTGGGCTGTGTAGGAAATTCAGTATCCATTTCTAGAAAGAGAAAAAGAACCCTTCAGTAGGAGTTTGAACCAGTTGTATCTACAAAGTATCAGAAAGCTACAAAAAGATTTCTTGTGAATAAGAGGATACTTGTTTCTCCATTATCTCTGGTCAAGTTGTCCTCCAGGTAAATGCTGTTTCAGTAAGTATCTAGTAAAGGAGGAATGCCTTTGGTATTGAAAAGCTGCCTTGCACAGTTCCCAACAGTATGGCTTTGGAGCATGTGACACTGAGTTTGTCTACCCTCTGCTACTTCTGTTTGGGGATTGGCTTGCTTATCAAAGCTGGGCTTCTGAACTGCAAAGCAAGAGTCACAGTGCCTGCTTAGCAGAATGATGATGAGGGTAAGGTTGGGATTTGTAAAGCTCCTGGCCTGTCACCTGCATGGCATAGGCATGAGGCAGTGGACATTGTCATCAGCATGGTCCACATTGTCAGAGAGCTCATCTTTGTGCACAGTGCTAGGGAGGCCAGTGAGGCATCTTCAGAATGGCCCTGAGACCTCAGGATTTCAGAGTGACAGCAGTGACATCTTAGGAGCATCACTTCAGAGGGCCCCCTGCACCCCATCTCTTGCAGTGGAGAATGAAAGCCACTGCGATTTCGTGAAGCTGCGGGAGATGCTGATCCGAGTGAACATGGAGGACCTGCGGGAGCAGACGCATGCCCGCCATTATGAATTGTACCGGCGCTGTAAGCTGGAGGAGATGGGGTTCAAGGACACTGACCCTGACAGCAAGCCCTTCAGGTATGAAGACACTCTTCAGGTGTCTCTCAGTGACAGGGTGGCACGCCGTAAGAGTGCCTGCTACCTGGGGAGGGTAGTGATGGAGTGGCCTGGTTGGGGACTAATGGCCTGGATCACCAGGCGTGGTGCTAACCACTTGATTTGTGTGATCTCAGCTAACTGATGGGGAAAAACCTAAGGCACTGTAATTGTGAGCAACCTGTCCAAGGTCCTACAAGTACTAAGTGACAGAGATCAGTTTGAGCCCTTGCTGTGTGGCTCCTGTGCCCAGGCTTTTAACCGTCTTGTCTGCAGAGCACAGAGCCTGACCTGGGCATTCATCAAGCTGTGGTCCCTGGTTGCAGTTTGCCTCTGATATGTTTGCTAAACAGGTTTACTTCTCAAGGCTCTTATTTTTCAAGCACTTCTTAGTTTTCAGTGCTCTAGTACAATTCTCATAGCAACAGGAGCAGGTAAGAGCATAAAAGTACTTTCCCTCATCACTGATGGGTGGAGATGCAGTGCGACAAGGAGAAATGAATGTAGAGGTGTAGCACCTTAGTAAATGCCAAGTTCCTGTCAGAGCCAAGTGGTGAGGAAAAAGTTGATAGGGCTGGGGTATTGGTGCCCTCACCAGGTGTAGTGAATGAGGGGGTGTCCAGGGCACATTGCCCCCTCCTGGCAGAAGACAGGATCATCCGAACCCTTTAACAGATATTTGAGGTGATGTGAAGTTTGTTTTGGCCCGGTGCCTCTTCTTATGGCGGGGTTACAGTGCCTTTGAACAAACTGGTTTGCTCCTCCTTCATGGCTGGTCCTGGGACTCGCTGTGATGTCTCCAGCCATAGAACTGATGGTTGCCCATGGACACTGGTAATCTGTGACCACTGTGGGCAGGTTCATTCCTCCTGGTCTGAGCTGCCTTTGGTGTAGGAGGAGATTTGTTTTCTCAGAATTGCTCCAGAGATGGTTCAGTACAGTAAGTCCTGGACTTATGAACAAGTTCCATTCTAGGAAAATGTTTGTAAGTTGGATTTGTTTGCATTCCAACAAAGTGAGTCTTCTACAGCATACCTGTGAAACTTCACTATTGAAATGTCTGTAAGTTGGGGAATCACTGTAATGCATGGGCTGGGCCCCTGCTCCAGGGCCGCTGTGGAGCCCATGAGCACAGATGCATTTGCTGAGAACAAATGCAGACTCCAGACAAAGGGCTTTGCCAAGTTTGCCTCATTTACTTCTGCCTGGAGACTTCTAAACTGACCCCTCTAGGCCCGTGAAAAGGCACTTCCTGGGGCTGGGGGTTGAACGCCTTTTTGGATTAACAGAATTAGCACATTGACACTTGAAATGCATTTACCTGAAAATAAAGTCAAAATCAAGCCATCTGTGGTTATTAAAGGTGATAAAGATGATTTCTATGTGTATGTATGTGTAGAAAAGGGTGCCTTTAGTATTTCACAGAGTATATGTTTTCTGCTCAGGTGGAACAAAGGAACTGCCATAAAATTGAATTCATTTAGATCCTGACAGTGTTGGAAAATATTGGGCTAAAAGTCAGGAGTCTGAATTCTATTTCTTCTTGGCCCTTTGGCTGAGATCAAGCATAGGAGTCTTGAGTTCAAGTCCTGGCCCTGCTAATACTCTCATCCCTGACGCATCTGGGCCAGATCAGGGGACAAATCCAATCCAATGAAAGGACTTTGTACAGAGGGCCAGTTCTGCAGACCATGTGATCTTTCCCCAACCACTTGATGGTGCTCTTATCATTCAAAAGCATCCACAAACCATAGAAGTGAACAGACAAGGCCATGTTCTAATAGAACTCTTTCTAGAATAAAGATAGGTGGGAGAGCCCCAGATTTGGTCCTTGCTGTCATTTGCCAGCATCCACAGACCATGGTAGCCAGTGCTTGTACTAGATCATAAACCGGAGACTGTGAACTGCCTTCAAAAGTTAGAATGTGTGTGACTGAGTTCATTAAAGGTAATTTGCCTCTCATACTGTTAAGAACCTGATTTCAGCACACCCTACTCCTAGAGCTGCTGATTCAGACTGGCCACAGTAAAGCAGTCTGTTCCGAAATGCTTCCCAGGTGATGCCATGCAACTCGTTTGCTAACCACCGCTGGTCTTAAATGGTCAGAGAGGCTTTTCAGTAAAAGAACCTATTTAAGGTGATTAACTTAGTTCTTCTCAGTTTTGTTTGATCATGGAAACTTTTTGAAGTATCTCACAGATAAAATGTGCTTGGAGTTGTGCTACCTTGAACACTGAGAACTATTAACATGATTCTGCCTTAACCAGTCCCAACTGCAACCAAATTTTGCTCCAGATTCTAGAGGTATATTTTCAAACAAACTACGGATCGCCAATCTTGACCAGTGTGTCAAAAGTTTAAGAGAACAGGAGAAAACGTACTGAAGTGGAGGAGGAGGTTACTGGAGGGAATGTGTGCAGTGGACTGTGATAGAAACATTGCCCAAATTGGAATGCCCTCATCCCGTGGAAAACCTAAGGGTCACCTTTGCCCCTTAGGAGGACTGGTCCCAGTCATGAATCTGGTAGTACTTCTGACATCCTGGGCCAGAGGAGAAAAATGAGCTCAACAAATGCTACTTCTTAATTACATCATTGTATCTTAGGACATGAGCCAGCTTTTGAACTCTGATACAGAAAATGATAGTGATAGAAGCATATGAGAAAGATATCCTGAAACCTTACATCAAAGAGTCAAAACTACATTCAGATACCTACAAATACTTAGCACAGTTGCAGCACCCACAGAGTTATATCCCCAGGGTTCTGCCGATTGAGCTGTAATCCAGATAGCAGAGATCCTCAGCAGTGTTTCCAGGCACTGAATCCCAGTTTAGAAGGAACTGGCTGTTATCCACCCATAGATACCTAAAGTAATTGCATCATTTGAAATTTATAGTTCTTCAGAATTAATTTAAGCCGGAGGTTTGGCTCAGTGGTTCCGCCGCCTGCCCTGCAAGCGCAGGGTCCTGAGTTTGATCCTTGGTACCAAAAAAAAAAAAAAAAAAAAAGTATATACTGCCAGAATTAATTTAAAATTACAGTTCTTGGCATCCTTTTTCTAAGAGAGAAATCTGCGATTGTTCTGTGAGGTTTTAGGTGGGTCTGATCTGAGGATCTTGTCTTCTAGTTTTCTCATGAGCAGCCCACAGGAGAAGAAGGTTTTGCTTTTATAGAAGTTAAGAGAAAAGAGAATGAGCACAGCATTTCTCTCCCTTTTCAAATCTGGTGGAACCATCTAGAGGAGGACATGCCAGAGGGTGACCATTCCCACAAAATGAGTGGGCTTAGGAATCTGTGTTTAGAAAACTACATTGAGATGTGCTCAGGTGGTCCTGATCTGCTGCCAGGTTCAGGACTCAACTCACTGTACATGTGAGTTGCCTCAGGGAAAACATACATAGCATTCTTCCCTTTGGACTTTGGAAATCCTTGTTCTGAGATCCTCTTTTGAAGCTATAGTATGTGCTGAACTCTGGAATGTGTTCAGCATTGTTTCTATAAGAGGTATCCTGAGACATTTGTTATACTGAAGTCAACAGCAGCTGAGTTTTTTGTAAGATTTCACAACAGGAACAAATAAGTCATCCCTGCCATTTGGTAATTCTGACCCGTATAATGGTGAAGAATTTGCTACAAGCTGACAAAGAAAAACAAACTCATAAATTATTTTATAGTCTGTTATCAACACAATCCTATATTTCACAATCAGTGTCTCAGATCTTGAAGCCCAAACATTGCTGTTAATATTAGGCAACATTATCATTGTCCAGCTTGGTTTTCTCTTGTGAGTTAGTGTGAAAGCTGCATAGAACTCTGGAAAGTCAAGCCACACAATTGTTCATAAGCAGGTAGAGTGGGCAGTGTTGATTGTATGAGAGCCAAGGGTATTAATTATAGAAGCATCAGATTGGTGTTACTGTACAACTGTTGTTCTGGGGAAGCAGAGAGAAAGAATGAGAACAAGAATGCTAGCACCCTGTAAAACATCAGTAACTGTTTGTAGTGTGTATGTGGGGTGGGATGAAGGGGTGTTTTGTTGTTGTTTTTGCTTTTGATTGTGTGACCAAAGGTACTTTCTCTGTAAGTATCTTTGTTCTTATTTAGAGATAAAGCTGAGTCATGGCATTCTAAGTAAAATATTGGATTCTAAGTTTAGTGGACAGGAAGAGAATGGGCTTTAAAATGAAAATAAAACTCCTTCCTGCTCTGTTTACAATTGATAATTCAACTAACCAGCAATTTTCTGCACTACACTTAGAGGTACTCTTGTGCCTGTAGTTTGTTCACCAGACTGGGGGCTGGAGGGAGATGATGGGAGGGAGGAAGTGTTATTAAGCACAGCTTATATGTCAGATGCTTTGTGCCCACTTTCCCTGCCTCTGATTCTCATAATCACACCCCCCTGGAAGGTGAGTGTTACTGCACCCATGCCTCACACGTCGGGAACCTTGGAGAGAGAGAGGCTGTGCTTTCCCAAGATGAATGGGTGGGGGTGTGTGTGTGCAGAACTCAAACCCTCCTCTGACCCTGTGCCTATAATCTCACTCCATTATCTTCACTTCCAGTCCCATTTGAGCCCAACTTTTCCCTGTGGGAGTACGTGTAGGATAAAACCCATCTGGTTTGCCGTACACATTAGTGTTAGCTGCATTGTGCTTCCTACTCATTCTAGGTTTGATGTGCCTGTCTTTTCATTCACAGCATGAATAAAATAATGCCATTTTATCTGAGCTTTATATGGTAAACAGCAGCTCTGTTTTTGGAAGTAGATGGGTAGAAATGATAAGAACTGAAATTTCTTTTTTTTTTTTTTGGGGGGGGGTACCGGGGATTGAACTCGGGTCCTTGTGCTTGCAAGGCAGGTGGCAGAACCATTGAGCTAAATCCCCGGCCCCTGAAATTTCTTATTATGCAATTTCATGACCCTGTCTTTGGTTTATGGATTTTGAAGTCTTCAGGAGACATACGAAGCTAAAAGGAACGAATTCCTGGGGGAACTGCAGAAGAAAGAAGAGGAAATGAGACAAATGTTCGTTATGAGAGTGAAAGAAAAAGAGGCTGAACTTAAAGAGGCAGAGAAAGAGGTAAGCAGTTTGACCTCCTTTAAGGGACAGAAACTTAAAAGAGAGATTTTATTAATACTTTTCATTTTATAGCATCTCATGCTGGTCCAAATACTTTCAACATAAATTTTATCACAAGCAGCACACTAATTGGCAAGAAAAGCAGACCAAATATTCTCATCCCCATTTTAGAGAAGATAAACTATAAAGGTAAGAGTATTTTTTGCAGTCACATACCTAGTTAGTAGCCAAGACTAAAACTATATATGAGGTTTCTAAAATGGATCCTGTGGTCTTTGCAGTGCTGTGTTTCCTCAGTTTCCAAGTCTTGAAATGAGGTTCAGGATTCTGGCATCATTATTATTAGTCTGTCAGCTAATTCAGTGGGCTAAGTGGTACAGGGCCCTGTAGCACCGTGAATGGATGACAGTCCAGAGCGAAGTCTGGATCCAGGCTTCTCCCCTCCGGCATGCACTCCCTACTCTAGTGTCCCTCCAAGCCCCCTTCAGTCCCACTCCCAGCCCAGAGTCACTGCTTCCTCAAAGTTTATGTGAATGCTTACCTTAATAGCACTCTTCCCACTGTATCTGACAGAGAAAGGACTATGTATGTACTATGTCTGCTTCTGCCAGTCAGTAATATTACCTGACTTATGTAGCTCAGTACTTTTCTAAATGAAATCAAGTAAATAATTTTCTCCTTATATTTTATTTTTAAAAAGACTACTGAAACTTAAAGGTTATATAAATAGCTAAAATTCAAGGGGGTTTTGCTGCAGATGAAAGAAAATTGAGCTTTCTTTTCTCTTGGCTTTAAGAACCAAGTGGATGATGGGTAAAGATTTAGAATGACTGAGTAAGCATTTCCTCCTTTCCTCCATGTTTTTGTTTTTGATTGTGATTCTTCCCCCCATGCTGGGGATCGAAGCCATGGCCTCTCGTGCATGCTAGGCAAATGTTCTACCACTGAGCTATATCCCTGGCCCATGATTATAATCTATTTAAATTCAGTTTGTTAAGGGCCATAAATTTCCCAACACATCTCATGTGTAATAGATATGAATATGTATATATAAGTAAATATATTTTATACATGTTGAAAAAAGGACCAGAAATAAACCACTTTTACCACAAGGGTGAATTTTTTGTTAGAATAATAGATAATTTTTATCTTCTTTCTGCTTTTAAAAGTGAGTATGTGTTCTTATTGGAAAGACTGTTCAAGGAATTTTTAGTTCCAAGGAACTCAAGTGACAAGCCTTGGACAGATGGATGCTCCTCAGAATCTTAGCCTTGTCCTTCCAATGAGCCACCAAGACAACATGTCACTCCTGTAACGGAAGTAAATGCAGCCACATGATGTGTGTTTTATTTTTGAACAGGTCCACATAGCTGTCTATCAGTAAGATTTTCATACCCTAACAAGCCTGTCTTCCTCCATTATTCTCCAGCTTCATGAGAAGTTTGACCTCCTAAAGCGGACACACCAAGAAGAGAAGAAGAAAGTGGAAGACAAGAAGAAGGAGCTGGAGGAGGAGGTGAACAACTTCCAGAAGAAGAAAGCAGCAGCTCAGCTGCTACAGTCCCAGGCCCAGCAGTCTGGGGCCCAGCAAACCAAGAAAGACAAGGATAAGAAAAAGTAAGCAGCTGTCTCCCCATTTATTGGGGACCTCTAACAATATATTATTCTTGCATGTATACTTTCCTATTTACAGACTGGAAAGTGGTCTGTTACCAGAAAAATAAAAGCAAGTATTTTCTCCACAGTGCAGGGAAGATGATAAAAAAAGTATTTTTAAAGGGTACACAAAGATTAATTTATAATACTTGACCATGTTGATCAAGCGACTGGAGTAACCTGTCATCTCCTATAGCATCTTCTTCTCCAACACTAGGATTCCTCAGAGAAGACAGGTCTATTTCTCTTTAGTACCTCTGAAGATAATTCTTACAACTCCTGGTAAAGAACATCTAAACTCACAATGGCTAAACTTATTTTTCTACTCTGTGTTTTCAGGCATGGTGAGCCAGTCACTGAGTCTTGCTCCCAGCCTGAAGCATGTATAAGGGCTGCTAGTGGCCACCTGTTCTCTCAATTCAATAAGATGATGAATTGTCTTATTGTGAAATGCAACCCAAATGCCCATCTAGTTAACATACCCCTGCCCATCCTCAAGCCACACCTATACCCACACAAAGCATTTAAAAATATGTCCTTGATTTCATGTGCCAAAGGATCAGGTTCTGCTCTTGAGTTAGTGACTTCTTGGGATACTTCAGTAGCAGCTGTCTGAACCAGAGGAAATGTGAGCTTCCTGGAAATTCTCCTGTGATTTGAAGCTCTCCTTTGGATCACTCTAAGAACTAGAGAGTGCAGTTTTATGACAACAGCTGTTGGTTTGACAGTAAACACAATGACAAGAGACCTTTAAAGCAAACCTTCACAGGGTCCAATAATGAACCCATGGATGCCGCCCTCCTTTGTCTGCTTAACTCACAGCTTATTTCAGGATCTTGCTCTTCATCCTTAGATGCCAAAATTCAGAGAGTGAAAAGAACAAAAATGTTGGTGTTCAAAGAGGCAAAGAATTACATTTTTTAAAAACATAGCACCTAGGCTTCTGCCTTAGACTGTCATGGAGAGGAATGTGCACACTGCTTTGTCCACCTGGTAGTGTGCAGCAGACTCATCTGTAAGGGATCTTGTGATGTTGCCTGTAGCAAAGATGAAATTACAGGCTTCAGTGGTACACAGAGGGATTGAATCATGCTTTACACACAGCAGAAGAGTAGCCAGCTTCTCAAAGCAGTGGCGGTAGTTGGTGTAGAAAGAGGTACGATTTTAATTTGGGTTGGTTCAGACCCAAGTGACCAAAGGAGTCCAAGGCCCCAAACTTTGGATATTCTCCTTTAATTCAGAGAGAAACAATTCCCTAGTTTATATCCAGTGCCAGAAAATGCTTCCATGGATCTTCATGTTGAAGAGCATCTGACAGTAATGGGGTCCTCTAAGCAGACATCCAGATTCTAGTGACTTCCAATGAGACAAGTGAAAGCCATTTAGCATAGTGCACCCTCAGTCCAAACTAGACAAGATAAAAAACAGATGTGGTGTGAGGCCGGAGATTTAGCTCAGTGGTGCTTCTGCCTGCCTGGAAAGTGCAAGGACCTGAGTTCGATCCCCGGTACCAAAAAAACCCCAGATGTGGTGTGGAGGGGGGAGTGGGGTATGTACATGTGTGTCTATTGTGTGAATGAAAGAATAAAAGCTGCTGGATCACAGCTTAGGAAATCCAAAGTAGGTTTTCTTACCCTGAAGGACTAAAGTGCATAAAGGTACAAGTTGGGTTTTTTTTTGATGCCGGGGATCAAACTCAGGACCTTGTGCTTGTGAGGCAGGCATCCATCCGTACCACTGAGCTAAAACCCTGGCTAAAGGTACAAGTTTTAAAGCTAAAAGTGTTTGTAAAGGACCAGCAATGTTAAAAGGGTATCTCATGAATGCTGGATATGCCTTTACACAATAAAAATTTGAAGAGCTGATCAGTATTGTGCCTCTATTAAAAAAAATCTAGCAACAAACTTCCCAGTTTCGGAAGATTTCTCCTTGCCCTTTTGAACATGTTCAATTACTTTCTTCCTAATGAATGTATAATGCTTTTAAAGTTTATGTGAATCTGTGAATTCTATTTTAGTTTAATTTATATATTCTTATTATTAATAGGATTAGATGGGCTTCACAATAGCCAGGTTCTGTGCCTGAAAATAGCACTCATTTTTTGTGTCACTTTTTGAAGTTTCCTACCCTTTTCCACACTTCTTAGTCAAAGCATTGGCTAGCAGGAGGCTTAAAATATAAAAGAAAAAAGAACCACCCTTCTTATTGCCAGTGGCGATAGAGGGTTTTGGTTTGAGAGGATAACAGACAGATAGTAAATATGGTAATCAGAGCAGCACTGGTAATGGAAACTCTTAGGTGCAAGAATACTGACATAGGCCTCTTGGGAGCTGGCTTTGTTCGAAGAAGAAAGCTTACCAAGAAGCTTATTTATTTGCCTGCTGTGCTTCCACTTCCAGGCTTAGTTTTTCTAATAGTTTTAAATTTTCTTTTTTCTATTCTAATGCCTTGCTTCTTTTTAAATGTAGGTAAGACTTTATATATTTCTCCTTGACCTGTAGTAGCATATATAACGTTTCCTAAGATTACAGACAAGGTAGAACTAACCCTAGCACTGCCATTAGCTGGACCCCATTCCTCCCATCTCTGTCCACCAAGTCCCTTTGGTTGCCTGCAGCTGCACTGCAGTGTTGGGACTGCTCAAGGGTACATTGTCCCCTGGGCAGTGTTCATCCGTTCTGGAAAACAGTTTGCCCAATTGCCAGGAAGCTTTGCTGGTTAAGATGCATCTATCCCAAAAGAAAGCTTTAAAACTGGTGTGTAGCCAGGCATAGTGGCACACACCTGTAATCCCAGCGCTCCAGAGGCTGAGGTAGGAGAATCTCCATGAGTTTGAGGTCAGCCTGGGCTACATAGTGAGTTCAAGGCCAGCCTGAATTATAGAGTGAGATCCTGTCTCAAAAAACCAAAACAAAATGATAAAACTGGTGTGTAAAAACTAAAGTTTACACAACCATCTCTTCACCATTTTTTTTTTTTTTGGTACCAGGGATTGAACTTTGGTCCTTGCGCTTGCACAGCAGGTGAAACCACTAAGCTAAATCCCTGGCCCAGCATTTTTTTTTTTTTTTTGTACCAGGGATTGAACTCAGGTCCTTGTACTTAACGGAGCAGGCGGCGAAACCACTGAGCTACGTCCCTGGCCCCACCTTTTTTTTTTTTAAGTAAAATTTTTGCTAAGGTATAAAGCTGCATGCTTTGAATTTGCCTAAAATTAGCTGTGTGGATCTTGGGTGGGTCTGGAATTGATTGCTTTGTACCTTAAAGAGGGGGAAAGCTCCTGGCATTGCCGTAGCTATGCCCATGTAACAATTGTTCTTTTTTTTTTCCTTCCCAGCTAGATTAGTAGCATGTCCCACTCATTCTATTCTAACCCCCAGCTACTCTAAACCTCTCCAAGTCATTCCTACAAAGCATTTATGGTATATTTATTCTCTGACTCCTTCAGCTGCTCAGAAATGGAAGGTGATGCTCCTAGTCAGTAGTCATGTGATTGATATCTCACCTATGAGATAATGGTTTTGTGTTATTTGAGAAAACAAAAACCAAACAGTAATTCCTTCTGTGGGATATACAGTGGTTTCAAGAAGTCACTTGTGAATTCTAAGTTTCATGCAAATGGAAACTAACCGTATGTTCTGTAATTAAATATTAAAATTTTGCTTTTGCTTGTCATGTAGAATAGCTTACTCAAGTTTTTGGTCTCAGTTTCTGTCAGTTCCATAATCATTGCATGAGCATTCACCATCGCTGAATGCTGGTGCTGGCGCTCCTATTTTCCTTTCTTTTTAATTTATTATTATTTCTAACTTTTTTATTTGTTTTTTAACTTTCAGTGCAAGCTTCACATAAAGCCTGGCAAGCCAAGGATGTTCCCGCATTCACCTGCTTTTGCAGTAGTAGTGTACTCTGCCATCTGTGTCCTTTGGTTTTATTTTGTTGTTCAGCCTTCCCCAAATACCAGTAGCTCTTAACTCGTTTTGCTGAATGTTGTTGGGTGCTGGAAAATGATAGAACAAGGGAATAACAGCCAAATCTCTGTGCGCCTGGATCTTGTTTCTGGAAAGTAAACAATTGCCTTTCATGTCTGTCCCCAGTGGCAGCAGGAAGCATACTTGTCATTTGTGTGTCACTGTGAAGGAGGAAAGTGGGGTAAAATGCTGCCTGTACGTCTGATGTAAGAACTTCCCATCACCTCAGCAGCTGAACTAAATCCTGAATAGCCCTGACAACAACTTGCATTTCTTGACTATTCATCTCCGCGATTGCATAGTCCCTGATCTCTTTGTGTCTCCTCCACACCATCCCCAAACTAAGGTAGATTTGTAAGTAGGCAGAGCAGCAGGGAGCACTGTAGATGACTTTTAAATGCATGCATGAATATTTCATTTTTACACTGACATTCTCTGCCCGAGCTTGTGCTCTGTTGTTCACTCTCAGGTTCAGACAGCTTCTGAACACCCACCTCTCAGAGCCTGGCTACACTGCTGTGAGTGCTTATGTCACCCATGTCACCTTGATCTTCTCACAGACTGAGATCTCATTGTTAAGTAGAAGACTCTTCCACCAAGGATAACAGGCACCACTCAGCCTGTCTAGTGCTTGCAGTAAGAAGTTTTTCATAAACACATCCACATGTGCTTGCCAGAGGGCTGATGGACAGGACCTTATGACTGATTCCAGGCCACTAATCATGAGAAAATTGCCACAAATACTTCAAATAGAAAATTTGCTATAAACCTTGTGTCATCAGCAACAAATTTGAGAGGACCTTGTCAATTTAAGGTACAAATGAGAAGGAACATAACATGAATCAAAAAGTCAAAATTCAGCTTCACTTCCAGCTTTCTTGCTGGTGTTTCGAATCCAGTTGTCTTGAAGGGATTTTCCTCTCTCAGCCCTCACCGTGACTAGTTTCACCTGCTCTCTGTGTCCCAGGGCCATCCCCTCACCCACAATTAGGACTGACTCAGGTGCCAGAATGTATACTTCCTGCCTGATTGGTATCAAGAAAGGCATGTGTAATCTCCGTGCTGTACTACCCCTTCCTGATGCTGGATCCTGCTGCAACAAGATCCTGTGCTTCCTCCCTAGATCTGTCTTCTCCTGTTTTACTTGAGAGGATAACATTCTCATGAACCCAGTACTTTCCCTCTGCTTTTTCAGTCTGACCTTCACTAGTTACAGATGAACGGGTGAGAATATACTGCATCTGCCCTCACCCAATACACACTTTTTAAAATACTAAATTTCTATCTGATTCCATTAAATATTTTTTTCTTTTCCTTCTCTTTGCCCCCATTCATACAGAGGAGAAAGAAGGGATGGTCTTCCATGATGGAAACCTCATTAGGCAAAGTGAGAAAACTGGGTTCACTGAAGTGCAGACTAAGCTGGGATGGAGACTGCAAACTAGAAACAGCAGCACTGTGGTCCTCACAGGGTGAGGAGCTGTTAGACCAGTGTTTTTGTCTTTGCTTTTGTTTTTGTAAGTCCTTCTAGTCTAAGGCTAGTTGTGGAGCATGCTGACTCTAATCCTGGGCTGATTTGCTCCTATGCTGGGTACCTCACAAAAGCTTGAATATTTGTGTTGTATGCTTGTTCCAGCCATTGCTTGTGTGAGCATTTTTTGTGCCTTGTAATAGAAAATACACTTTTAAATTCTATTTCTTGCATTCCTAAAAGCTTTTAAAAATGAGCTTAGCAACGAAAAGCATCCAGCTGACTTTTTGACTCCAAGATTATTGATTTTTTTGTATTAAATTTTTCATAGCAAAATAAATTTTATGGAGAGTCAGGGAATAAAGTCAAAAGAAACATACAGAAGCTTTTTTAAAAAAATGTGTTGCTTCTGAACTTTTCTCTACCCTTACTCCCCAGCCCCGATTAGTTTGTTATTGCTGCCTTTTTTCTTTCTGTATCTGTGCCTTTTTTCACAGTAGTCCTTGGCTCTGCACGGAATAAATGATACCCTCAAATCTAATGGGATGTGCTTTCGCCTTTGCATGTAAGTACAGTAGTAAGAAATCTTTGAGATCTTTCTGACTTTCTAAAATCAAATGGGATGGAAAGATTTTGGGGAGGGTATGGAGAGAGAATAGTGTCTAGCTTTTAAATAAAAGCTAAGTATGTCTAAAATGGCCACATTTATATGTTTTTCACAATTTGTTTCCCACTTCTTAATCTCTTTGTAGTCAGAAATGACTAATCCCAGCCTGTGTTCTGCACAATGTAATGGGCATTGTTGGCTATTACAGAGGGTCCTGGATCCTGACCATGCAAATAAAGCTAGAGTGAGAAGCGACCACCTTCCGTTGGATAAAAACCAAGAAGATACTTATGCTAGGCTGTCTTTGTGGTCACTTACATTCTAGATCTTAGTTATTGGCCTCTCCCTGGTGCTGTGACAGTGTCACTTTTTTTTTTTTTTGGCCAGATGGCTCTGGCTGGCCTCTGCCTGTATCTTTTGTTCTAGCATAATGACTTTCGTTTTGGTTCTTCTGAACTGTAGATACCCATAACAGTGGCATAGGCTGTGACAGAGAAGCATGTATGAGAATTTACTGAGAGTTCAGAGGGTTATTAGGCTAAATATTAATTGGTCTGAGTTTTCTCCAAAAGGGCATCTCAACCAGGGGAATTATGTAATGCTGGACACAGGTTTCTTAATATTTTTCTTCTCAGCTTTGTAACTCACCAGCAATAATACTTTGTCTATATCTTGTGCACCTCAAGTGAACAGACTTGGCCTCCTCATGTTATTGATATACCCCTCTGTGTTCCACATGCAGTGTCAAGTCAGGTTTTCTGAGTGTATCCGAACTGTGCCCTGCTGTCTCTGTGTGTTCCCGCCAGAACTGTCCATTTTGGTCGCTTGGCTTTGCCATTTGCAGGTGTCTGGAACTGTCAAGTCTCAGCTTCCAAAGGTCCCGGTTCTCTTGGCAGGACACATATGTGATGACTCTTTAGCGGGATTGTGACCTATAAAATCTAGTTTGTATGTAGGTATGAAGGGGATTTTTAAAAAATAAATTGAAAATTAAGCTGTGAACAGCATTAGAATTTTGTCTATTTCTTAATTTTAAAATATGCTGATATGCCTTAAACTGTAGTTGTAGATCCTTGTCATTTTGCTGTTTGGAAATAACTGGTATTTTCTAAAACTGTTGTGTAATCTACCTTCAGTGTTAATACAGAATTGTCATATATGTAAGCTGCATGTGAGATGCTTGTCTTTTTTTTAAGAACTAAAATAATTGTATTGATGTGAAGCGTATTATTTCTTCAAGTATGAAAGTAGTCACTCAGCAACCTGCTGGGTAATTTGGTATCTGTTAAGGTAGGAGTGTGGTAACAGGTAATCTATGCATACATATCACTAGCGCCAAAACAAAAAGTGGGGAAAATATATTTTTACCTAAATGTCATATTGTGTGCCCTTTTGTGAGTTCTTTTTGGTCACTGCTTCATACATATTTGTACATACACATGCTTACCTTATCGGGGACCGGAAGAGAGGTGGCAGTTTTTCCTGCTTTTCGGCCTGTGTTGTGGACTTCGGATGCTCCCACTTCTCCAAGACATGCTCTGTGGTGTCCTGTCCCTCCCACATTGCCTCTGCCACCCTCCCCCTCCCCCTCCCCTGCCCTGCCTGCGTCTCAGCCTTAGTGCGGGTGTGTGTGTGTGTGTGTGTGTGTGTGTGTCAGTGTCAGTGCCCAGGAAGGGACCCTTCTCCTCTGCCACACGGCCCATGCAGTGCTGTGCCTCCTGCCACTCTTGGGAACACCATCCCTTTTACTGACACACCACTGTTCCTCCACAGCTTGTTGTAGAGAAGCATTTTTTTTTTAAGGCTTTAAGAAGCAAATTTGAATCTGAAACTTTTTTTTTTCTCTCTGTAGCTTCTTCTTTATGTAACCATCCCGTTGACAAGCCCTACTCTCTCCTAATGGACATAGAGCATTAGAAGAGCAGGAGCTGTCTGTCACACGTGTTGGGGAAGAGTTACCTCATTTCCACCATCGCCTCCTGTTCTTTTAAAGTCTGGGTCAAATAATGCACTGCTGTTTGTATTTGTCAATATCTGTTTACAAACCACTGCCCACAGCGGCTACCGAAGTGACTCCGCTACCAAAAATATAGGAGTAATTAAAAGGAAATTGAGTGAAACAGGGAACTTGGGCCCAAACCCAAGGTCTCATGCTGGAATCCTCTTGCTTAGCTGTCATATTGAAGCTGCTGATCCAAGAACTTATGGACTGAAGAGAGAATGTACCCTTGTACCTTCCTCTGGGGCAGACTTGACCCATGGTAATTAATGTCTTTTCTGTCCCATGAGCACTGCTCTGAGCAGCTCAGTGGGCTACTCAGCCACCATCAGGTCGTGAGATACGGCAACATTTTCCTTCTTTCTGTTAGTTTTGTGGGTTGTTTTGGTATCTGGGATTTTTTAAAAGAATATTTGATATTGCATGCACAGAGATGGATGCAAATTTTCTTTGGAGTGTCCTATTGATACAGTGTCTTTATTTTTCAGCTGACCATCTGCCTCTTGAGAAAGAGAAGTGGGCATCCTTCCTTTAAATTCGGGAACCATTGTGGTTTTATTTGACTATGTTACCTGCATCCCTTATATAAGTTGTTTTGAAATTGGGATTCTGCTTTTTGTATTGGTTATTCAAACTTTTGGTACCAAAATTATGGCAATTTTAAGCTTACTTCAAGGGAAATGTAACTGAAGTTTAAGTCACAAAACTGTTTAATAGGGCTGGGAATTTAGCTCAGTGGTTCCATCTCCTGCCTTGCAAGCGCAAGCTCCTGAGTTCAGTTCCTGTTATCAAAAAACAAAAACTGTTTAATATGCTCTCCTCAGATACAACAAAAAGAATCCCCTTTTTTGTTACTAGGGTTTTGATCTATAAGTTTTAATTATGTTTAAAATATGCCAGTCTTTAGTAGATGATTTTTTTTCTGCCTCTGGGGCTCAATTTATATTTAAAAATACCTTAAAAGAACTTTCTGGCCCATCCCTGTCTTTATTTACCTTGTGTCCATGGTTTTTTACCAGGACCCATGTGTCCTGGGCCATGGGAAAAGAATCTCACACAAGTACATAACACCTCCCAGATCAGCATCATTAACAGTAGTTCTGACTCACATTGTCTTCTCTAAGTGACGAAGGTGGCCTTCTCCACAATGTCTCCACAAAACCTTACCGGAATCAAAGCATTCAATCAGACTGGACCACTTGAAATACACCACACACAAACTTACTTCTGCCAACTGAGTGAGCTTGTGATCCCCAGAGCTGACCTCTTGGTGATGAGTCAGATTTGGGGCTAGGTTACTTTAAATAACAGCCAACTCTTAGGCAGTTTTTAAGGTCAAGGAACAATTTTCAATCTATTGTATAGTCATTTTATCTTCCAAATTCATTGCTTGTCTACAGCAAACACTTCATTTTTCAGCTCTATAATGGGTAGATCATAAAAATATCATTGGTGGCCTGAATAGCATTTTTTCAGGATCCTTAGGAGAGGGCAAGAAAGGCAACCCATGATTTTGTTGGGCAGTGAAATGATGAAGCAACAGTCTCTGCTGCTTCTGATTCCTGGAAGGCAGCTCCTTAGGGCAATTTGATAAGCATGCTGTCAAGCAGCTTTTTTAACTTAAGCATATTAATGTAAGTAAAGTCAGATTCTGTGCCATTGAATGATCAAAACATAAGGGTCAAGAGCCATTCCCTTCATACCATACTTCTGTCTGTAAGGATTGAAATCTTTTTTGCTGTTGTTGTTGTAAGGATTGAAATCTTGTGATGTGACCAGTTGGGGTGGGAGATACCAACTCTTTGAGGCCAGACTGACACATTACCAGTTTTGTAATTTAAACATGTAGGTTTATTGAAACCACTGCAATCACTAATTATAATTTTCTTTACTCTTAAATTCATTTTTTAATATTTTAATATCAACTTAATACTATCATTTTACAATCTTTTTATTTTCGAGATAGGGTCTTGCTATCTTGTCCAGGCAAGCCTTGAACTTGCTGTGTAGCTCAATTTGCTGTCAGCCTCGCAAGTGCTGAGATTACAGGTGTGCGGTACCATGTCTGCATCTGGTTTTAAGATGTTTGTTGAGCAAAAGGTAATGTATTAGTTACTTCATTGCTGGGATAAGCTGGCATAAACAACTAAAAGGAGTAAGGATTTATTTGGTTTACGCTTTCAGAAGTTTGAGTCTGCAGTCAGGTGGCTCCAAAGCAGAAAGATCTTGGCAGAGGAAAGCTGCTCACCTCACGCAAGCCAGGTAGCAGAAAGGGAAAAAACTAGTGTGAGAAGGGCTAGAGACAGGATACACCCTTCAAAGGCCACACCCCAAGGGCCTACTTCCTCTGGCCAGGCCATCTCCCAAGAACCCACTCAGCTCATCGATGGGTTGATTCACTGATGAGGTCAGTCAGTGCCCTCATTGTCCAGTCACCTTCCAAAATTCCATCCCTGAACATGAGACTTCGGGTGAGTTTAGATCTAAGCCCTAACAGTATTTTTCTGCAGTACAGAAATGTGTTCTGATGTTGCAGCCCCTTTTTCTGTGTCAGCCCCTGGTTAGAAGAAGGTGAGAGTAAGCAGCTTCCCGGAGCAGGCTGTTCCAGGCTGGTTGGCCTCCACTCAGTGACCTAAGGGAAGCTGGCCTTGGACACCACTGGCCAGGTACCTTGTCCTCTCCATAGACTGCCATGGATTCAGCGTTCAGAGTGATTCATTTCCTCAGGTGTTTACAGAACTTGTAGCTTCTCAAGTTCTCCTGGTTAAGGGATGAGAAATCATTCTGGAGATAATTATCAGCAATAATAAAAATTACTGGCTTATCTCAAGGTAAACTGTAGAAAAGCAGGATAATCAAGCCATTGGACTCTTTGCACTGGTAAGTTTTGTGTGTGTGTGTGGTACTGGGGAAAACCCAGGGCCTTTGCACTGAGCTACAGAACTACATTCCTAAGCCTCCTTTTTTGGTCTTTTGAGACAGGGTCTTAAGTTGCTTAGTTACCAAGGCTGGGCTTGAACTTGGTGATGCTCCTGCCCTGGCCTCCTAGAGTGCTGGGACTACAGATGTCCACCACCATACCTGCCTGATGGTAACCTTTATATTTTTCATTCAACTTAAATTATTACTTGATTTCAGATAGATTCTGCTTTTGCATACAAAAATTGTCTAGGGCTGCTTGAGATTAGCACATGACACGTATGAAGGAGAGATATGACCTGAATTAGTGTGCGCTGAGCTAGGCCAAGTGAAAATCATCCAGGTATTCTTGCCATAAACTTTTACCCAGCAATGATATTTCCCATAGGAAAGTGATACATTTTTTTTGTCTACAAGTGGCATAGACTATGAATAGTTTTTAATGTGTGAGAAAATAAATTTATACTTTTCACTGTATTTAGATGACCTTTCTACAGAAGACCTTTTGTGCTGCATGTAACTCATCTTTCTACCCTGGAGACTGACGGTGAAGGTTGTCGGGCTTACTTAGAAGATCATTGTGCTTGAATTCTTAGGACTATGGTATCTAGTCCTGTGACCTGTGCCCTCTGGCATACAGATCTATCTCTAACAAGCAACTGGCACACCCAGGGCTGGTGAAGGGACTGAATGTTCATTTAAGGAGACTGAGCCTAGATATCCACTCATTTTCCTTTTCAGCCTTGCTATTCTGACTCGTAGCAATATATAAAAAAAAGCCGGGTGTGGTGGTACATGCCGGCAATCCCAGGACTTTGGAGGATGAGGCAGGAGGATCATCATGAGTTAAAGGCCAGTCTGGGCTACACTGTGGGAGCTTGTCTCAAAAAATAAACATATACACATATTCATGTGAGATACAAATGATTCCCCATCTGCCCCAGGTCATTTGCAGTACCATGAGTGGGTGGCCTTCCAGTCCACTGTAGAAACTTTCAGAATCAGCACCTAGATCAGGAGAGGCAGAGGTTATTACAGTCAGGACACCCCAACACACACACACACACACTGTACAGAGGGAAATAACAGTCCACAAAAAGCTGGGCTTTAGCCATGCACTTTGCACAACACTTCTGGAACTGAAGTTACAGGTCTAGCTTGCCTTGCTCTTTACATCTGCCACCCTTCTCCATCCCCCTTTCCAAATACTTTTATATGGTACACCAGGCTTATGTTAAGTGTTGGGATGCAGCCACACTTTATTAATTGCACTTGTCCCTTTGTATAGTTTCTAAGCACACTAGATTTGTAGAATAAGGGAAAAGGCTAAGCCCTTTCTATGCTAATTTGTCTGAAGACAGATGACACTGAAAAACAAGTGTCCCATTCCCCACCAATTGCATTTTCATGGCTGTTGCCCTTGAGTTTGGAAAGCTGTAGGCCCAACAAAATGAGTTGTTTCCAGGAGGTGAGAAACAAGTTAACTGTGTGGGGCTATTTAAACATTTTTCTACTGTCTTAATTATTGTATAACACAGTAAGGTCAACAAGTCTGACAATCTGCTGTGACGGTTATGCTGTAAAGGTCAAGATAAAGGGAGAGTTCACATTTCATTCTTAACCTAGAAGTCTCTGGGAACTAAAAGACGAGTTGTGAGCTCATATTTCTGTATCTGATAATCTTGGTTACCTCCTATTATGCCTTTTCCAGTGATAAATACAAGGGAGAATTGTGTGTTTATTCTAAATCAAAGTGTTACACATTAGTATATCATAACATCCACACAGCTCCAGTATGGGAAGAGGAAGCTTTCAGTCTAATTCCTTGATGAAAGCTGTGCTAAATGTGTGCAGTTAATATTTTTGTCCTAATGACTGATCAAATCCAACTCAAACCAAAAACAGGAAGGGGCTGGGTGATTTGTTTTCATGCTGTCTAAATTGTATTCTTAGGCTATTTTGCAGGACTGCACACAACTTGCTAATTAGGATGCTTAATTTTGGTGGTTCTCCCCACCCCATCTCCAACTGAGTTAAGACTTAGTATCCAGCCATCTGTCCTTCCAATGGGGCTGATATTGCTGAAATGCCCTCAGTGTCACATCCAGAGGCCACCTGTATCCTAAGTGATGTGAACTTGGGATTTCAAAATATGATGTACTAGGTCTTAGGCATGAGGTATGTTCAACTGCTTATCACAAGCCCAAATGATTTTTTTCCTCCAGAAATGTTTAAAGATGCTTTATTCTTTTTCTGGAGGCACCATCTAGTGGCCAAAGTTCAAAGAATTAAATTTAATAACAGGTATCTGTTATTAACATAAAGGCTAATTTCAACAACTTTGGACGTTTTTGAAATAACATTTGTGTACTAAACAAAACCTTGTGATGTCAAAAGGGGGTTTAAGATGAGTTAGAAGTTGAATCCTGTTCAAAATTTGTATGACATCAGACAACTCTAACCCTCAATTTTCTAATATGAACTCTGAGTCTTCAGGATGATTTGTGAAAGCATTTGGCACAGTACCTTCCCTTTCCAGTGGGAAATGTACAGGCTGCTGTAATGAAGATAAGCTCCCATCGTGCTGGTTGAGCAATAGCTTAGCCACATTTTTTTCTCAAGGGAAAGGCCATGTGCTGCTCTGGGCAGTAGTGTTTAAGCACAACTTGCCCCCTTGCTTGAGGAACTCAAGTGAGTAAATTGTAGAGCTTGTCAACCCAGGAATGTAGAGTACAGAGGACACAAAAGTGGCTGCTCTTTACAGAAGTAGTCCTTCTTGGGTGGGCAAACACCAGTGTCTTAATATCCTCCCAGTGGGAACCTAGGCTCACCAGGTTGGCTGAGTGAAGAGCTACCCACTAGCTTCCTTCAGAGCTAAAGGTACTATCTGGAACATTGCTGGTAAATGGATTATATCTGACCTTTCATTGGTGTTTGAGAGCCCTGGTTCTCAGCTTTCCTTCCTCCCTCTACACTAATTAAGATAGTCATCTTAGAGGACAGTTTTCTAGTAGTAACCAACTTCATGTGTTTCAGAGAATGGAATAAATTGCACTTTGTGGTTCTTTTTCTGTTGGTGCATTAGGGAGCTACTATGGCCATCAAGTTCATTGCCCTTGCCTGTCTGGAGGGTTTACGGAATGATAGGTATTTTAACCACCAGGAGGCAGCAGGTGTATTTTTTTCCCCCAGAACTGGGGATTGAAGCCAGGCCCTTTGCACTGAGCTACATCCCCAGCCCTTTTTAAGACAGGGTCTCACCAAGTCACTAAATTGACCAAGGTGGGATTGAATTTGATTTTGCCTCAGTCTTCCAGAGTGGTAGGATTATAGATGTGTGTCACAGTGCCCGGCCACCAATTAGGATACCTAAAGCTCAAGTTTCCAAATCTTTGGTTTGTGATGTGAGGCCAAAATTTAACCCAAGTAATTTGGGAAATAGGTGAAATAGGAACAAATTTAACAGCACGAATATTCTTAACTGATAAGCTCCAGTTTGGTACCTGCTTTCTCAAGCCAAAGTTCTTTCAGTCCAGAATAGGTCCCGAGAAACGGGGCTGTCTCTAGAACTGTGGCAGGGAAGGTATAACTGAAATGTACTCAGGATGGTCAGGCCTTAAGTACTACTACTGTCCCAAACTGACTTTTGAGATGAGCTCTCATTGGTGCCCAGGCTGGCCACATACTCTCACAGCACAAGCTATCCTCTTGCCTCAGCCTCAAGTAACTGGGACTGTAGGTGCACAACAGTGTTCCACTAACATCTACCCTTAACATTAAAAACCCTTGAGATTGCTGGACTACAAATGAAATATTCTGACCCTAGGCTCAACTTTAGCCTTAGTTTTTGTACATTAAAAAATGTTTTCATAGGTTGTGTGCAGACTAATGCCATGTTTTGTAGGCACTATACAGAGCCCCCCCCCCAAGTGTGTACCCTTCAGGAAAAGAAAAACTTGTATACTTTAATCTAAATCTGACACATCATGAGATTGATACATTACCTTTGGTCTCTACAATTACAAGAGGTGCTCTTTAAGTAGTGGCCACTGACTTCCAGGCTATCAGTACAGCAAATTGCTGCTTGGATAACCTTGGTCAGAGATTGCGGCACATGCATTTTCAATTTCTTAAGGGCTGGTGGCATAGTGAGTTTTCTGATAAGACATCCTCTAGGGTCCCCCATAAAAGGCTAACGCTTATGTGTTGAAAGGACAGCATACTAATTTTCTTTTCCTGATGCATACACTTTTTTTTGGCACTCTGTATTTGTTCCTTGGAGCCCCCACAATTGAGAACCGAGAAATAGAAACATGAAAATCAGGATATGGTTTGGTTTTGAGACAGGGTCTTGCTATGTAGTTCAGGTTAGCTTCAAACTCAGAGGAATCCTCCTGTCTCAGCCTCCCGAGTGTTGGGATTACAGGTGTTTGCCACACCTGGCTCTAGGATACGCGCTTTTAAATATGCAACCGTGATGCCAATTCATCTTTACACACAAATAGTTCCTTCATTCTTTTATCTCCCCACTCCCATACTAACGTGAGTAAATGCTTCCACTCTTCAGGTGGATTAGAAGGTCACAAAACACATAGGTAGTGAGGCATTCCACAAGAATTTTCAAAAAGTCAGATGTGGACAGAGAATACCTTCAACAAAATCAGTGGGCTCAAAATGACACATTAACTGGATACAGGCGTGAATCTGTCCTCACAAAGTCTCATTAAGAGGAGAATTTGTGTGGACCCCAATACATCAGTGAGAAAATACTATGATGGCATTCTTATGCCCAAACCTACAACCCTCAGTCACACTCTAGTGTTTTCATTTATTTTTCAGTAAGACTATTCTTAAGCTACCATTTTCCTTACTTGAAATCACAGTGCCTAGTAATCAGGAACCAATACCTTTTCACAAGCAGAAAAGTTACAGACACAAAGGTTAAGGACAACTTTTTATTGCTACCAGAGGCTTTTATCATTGGTACATGGTTCTGACTGCAATACCTTCTTCAGACTGCAAAGGGAGCTCAGGATCCAAGTCATTAAGGGAAGTACAGGCAGGTTATGAGACACAAATAATTTTTATCAGAAAATCCTAACAGCCTAACATAAAATAAGGGTTCTGAATTACGTGTTACATGTCAAATCATAGAGCTGCCCCAGTATCTAGACAGACTCCTACTGATTACAAATGAGTAAAAACGGATTAGTTACAAAAATCTAATGATGTTACATATAGGGTTCTTTGACGAGCACCTGGATATATTAACTTTGTCACAAATTCTTTCATACAATTGTCAAAAATGATTTCAACAAATCTGTGTTCTAGATAAAGCTGTAATTTTGTTTTAAATGAGAAAATCCATGTGGTAATGTGAGAATTTTGTCTATTATCACCTCTGATTCATCTGGACAATTCTAAAGTACACTTTCCACACTTAACTGGAATCTAAACCATGGATTAAATATGGCTGCCACTAATTTTGCTTTAAAAAACTTGGGGGTTTCCTATTCAGTGGAAATCAGAGAACATAGATCAACATGCATAAAATTTATTAAGTATTCAATAAAGAAGCAAGCAAAACCAAGAAAATAAATCAGGATGCTGGGGAAACAAGTTTGAAAGCTGTGAATTTTGGAATTTTTTTCCCAAATATTGTAAATTTTTGACATGGGGCAAGCTACATTTTATAGCAAAGAAAAGAACAACTGACATACTATAAAGAAATTTACTTTTTAAAAATGTTTTGGTAGGTATTTTTTGGCCTTTAAACAATGCTGAATTATAATTGAACTGCACAAGTAAATGAGGGTGTGTTTTTTTTTCCTGGCTCACTTCACATCAGCCTGATAAGGTATATTTCCCTCCATAGCCTTTCCTAGCTTTATAGGTTGTTCCCAAAGTAGCCAACCTTAGTTTGCACCGGAACGTAACACATGTTGAAACTACATGACAGAAACAGGCTGCAAAGGTGGACAAGGGCAAGCATGTCCCTCTTGTCTTGATAAATCAGTGCCACACACAGAAGCCACATTTTCTGCAGCATTATCTTCATTATAGAGCCGCTTGATTCCATCATAGAAGTCATCCACTTCCATTTCCTCCACTTTGCGTTTAGCAGAGGTGTGCTTGCACCCACTGGCAGCTGAGAGATGATGGTAGAAGGCTGCTGGACCTCGGACTGGCACTTCTGGCTTGCTGTTGTCCTTGGAGAAATCTGGGCCTGAGACAAAGGAGGGATGTAATCTGAACACTCCTTTGTCACAGGTCACCAGGGTGTGCTTGAGGGGACGGTAGACATAAACGGAATTTAGAGGCAGGGAGGACTGCAGAGTAGAAAGGTGATGTGCCACAAGCTCCCGACAGTGGATCAACTGGGAGCTATCCATCTGGGCCGGGAAAAAAAACACACCACAATGTTGTTCATTAATTAATGAAGGCTGCTCTGCCCTCTCTGCTGGCTACTTTTCCTCCTGTTGCCTCTGATCCTTCAGTGTTCTCTTTTCCCACATCTTCTATTTCAAATTCACTGATTTCCAGCATCCTAACTATCTTAGATTAAGATATGTCCAAATCCATAATGTTGGATATTTACAGAAGAACAGAAACTCTTCTCTTCACCACTATACAGCCAACGCCTGCTTTTCTCCCACTTCATCCTCCTCTCATCCCACCTCTTTGCCTCTTTTTATTTCTTCAGTGAAGACCAAAGGAAAGATAAACATAAAATTCATTACTTAAGGAAGAAACCAGAAGCAAGGAAAAAGAAATGTTGAATCAGGGAAGCTTGTCTAGTTCAGAATTTAAAACAATTCAAGTATTTTAAGTAAAAGAGAAATTTAGGCAGGTTTATAGTTTTATAGCAAATAGCAATAAAACACTAGAAGAAACGTTTTTAATATTTTTGCTTAACTTGGAAGTTTTGCTCATTCCTCCTTCAGGATAACTTGGGTATCAATCCTATCAGGAATCACATTTGACTTCTCCAACCACCCAACGTCCACATTTCCATGGTCATTTGTTCCCGGTGTTTTGAAATGATCTAAACAAACACCTAGGGTCTCCATTATAGACTTTAAGAGTCACTGCCTTACTCTCCCTATAATTACAGCCCTGTCAAATCATTTATCTATAGCATCCTGTATTTTTCCTTTACTCAAGATTTGATTTTTCTTTTTCTTTCTTTTCAGTACTGGGGATTGAATCCAGGGCCTTCACACTGAACTTTTTAAATTTTAAGATGGGTCTCCATTAAGCTAACCTCAGTTTTATTTTAACAAGGCTCTCTAATATGACCTCAGCCTTTTTCAGCCTTATTTCCTAGCATACCCTCAAAGTTTATGCTCTACATTCCTGCCAAACAGGCCTGCTCAGTTTTTGCATAAATTTTCTCCTTTGTCACTTTACTCTTGCTCATCCTGTTTCTACCTGCTGAAATTGTTTTGACCATTCATTCCTTTCAGGCTTTGCTAAATGCTATTACCTCCAGGGAAGCTTATCTTGGTCATTTAACAATCAGGGATCGCCTTTTTTCCAGTTTTGTGGATTTTATATATATTCTGGACATTTCTTAATCTGCAATACACAGCATGACTGCACTACTACACAGAAAAGAAAGGAACATAATATACTCTATAAGAACACACTTGATCACTAAATTAATTTTGTCTAAATATAGTCATATGTTAACCAGTAGAGAAAGTGGAAAGGCTGGTCTTAGTCATCATGTAATACAAGTGTAAAATTACCTGAAACTGTCAAAAGGAATATATGGAATGGGCAGATTTTAGTATCAACCATTTTGTTCAGACTTTTCTACTATGATAACACACAACAGGCAAGACATTAACTACTACTGGAATTTTTCTCTTCCTTAAAAATTTTATGTAATACTTAAGATAGTCCCCTAATTACCAAGCTTACCACCACAGGCTAGGTCTTATTATACACTAGGGACATAGAACAAGCTGACCCAAGGAACAAAGCAGAGAGAAACAGCCTACAAAAGAGAACAGGTTTGGCAGTGAAAGGAAGGATATAATATTTCTAAAAAGTTCCTAGTTTAATGAACACTCTAGCAACTAAACACTTTATATCTTAGAAAAAGTTAGAAGTTCCACAAATATTCTAATCCCTTGATCTCTGGGCATAAGAAAACACCGTAACAGAATCCTGAAAAAGACGTATGTATCTTTTCTGTGTGCAAAAAAATTCCCATGAAATTATTTTTTAGAGGTGAAATCTGGCAGAGAATGATAAGCCAGAAAGAATAATAAAAGTTAACTCGTACCCATAACTATCTATATGAATCTACCCAAATCTTAAGGCAGTCAGTCCTTTGTCTAAAATAACACATCATAGTAAAACAATCTGAATTTGTGAGAGAGAGAAACAAAAGTACATAAGCTGGAATTACAACTCTAAATGCCAGTGAAGTCCTCTGGATATATTAGAAGCATTTAAAATGAATTTTTTCTAACTACAATTGTCAAAAGAACCTTTATTATTAATTCTAATGACTCCCCAAATTTGAACATGGTGATTATTTCTAAGTATCTTTTGCTAGAAAAACAAAAGAAGATTAGGTTTGGTAGGCATCATGAAGCACTGAGAATATGTTCCAGAACAGTTCGATGTTAGGTACACCTCAGGAAGAACCAGGACATGCTAGTGGTGGTGGGAAACACTGGTGGGGAGGGTCTGCTTTTTAACTACTGACTTTACTTTTAAACTAGACCACATACTTTGACTACTGTTGGCTAGAAACCAGGGAAACGACTACACTAATTTTATCGGGGTGGGACACGACAGTGAGGAGGACTTGAGCATAGCCATACAAGTAGAGCAAGAGTAGAAGGGGTAAGAAGAGAAACAGGTTTAGCCATCCTAGAGTGGAGACCAATAGGTAGCAAGCACAAAGCTTGCAAAGGGAGGACATGTGGCGGAAAGGCTAGAAAGGGACAAGAGGAGGCTTGCTTTTCCACTGAAGACTATTCACCCTACTTTGTCCCAAGTCCAGAGGGGTACAGCAAGAGCTAGTGATAGTGGCCTCCTCACAGCACAAATATCTACAGGACCCTTCCTCAAACTAAGACACTAGGAATCACATCAAAAGTAATACTTGTACTGGTCTGAGAGGGTAGCTCAATGGCAGAAGCACATGCCAACCACATGTTAAGGCTCTAGGTTCAATCCCCAGCAATACCAAAAGACTGAAAAAATGTAATACTGGGAAGGCACGATCTCACTAGTCTGATAGCAGAATTTCCTACACTAGAACCAGAAATTCAGGCCTCATCACAGGTCTAATTACAAAGACATTAGAACCTGATCTCCAACCTGAACACAGATGAACAAAGACACAACTGAGTCCCAAAGAACCAGAACTTTTTGTGTTTGGGCCATAAGTTTGGTCATCAGCCCAACTTAGTTTTAGAGACAAGCTGCTAGACGAAGTCCGAAAGTCTCTACCAAGTTTTGTGAGCTTGTTTTTATTCGCTATCCTCCTCCCCATTACAGAGACATTTTAAAAAAATCACTATCCCCAAGGGCAGATCATAGATTTCTAAAAAAATATTTGTGGGGGTCAGGGATTTAGCTCAGTGGTTTCGCCACCTGCTGCGCAAGCGCAAGGGCCTGAGTTTGATCCCCGGTACAAAAAAAAAAAATTTGTGGAATATAACTATTAATATGGAATAGGGTTTTCAGACAATGCCCAAACAGTCTATAGAAGGGAGAAGGTTCTGCTGAGTAGGACTCTGCAATCCAACAGATCTCTTCCCTGAAACACACTACAAAGGATAGCCCTTTGTATTCTGGGGTTGCATAGACAATACTTTGGGGCAGGGGGGCAGGGAAAGGACTCTACTTCTTAAAGAAACTCTGAAAACCACTGGACTAGAATCTTTACAGTTTTGTGGTACTGAAAAACGCTGGTTGTCTTAGTCTTTCACAACCAAGTAATTCTATGTGGCTCTAAGGAAGTCCAAGTTAACTGAAATGGAGCTAAAAAATAAAGGAGAGATGAAATGATTTCTAAGAAAATCCTGTCAAATCTCAAGTTCATAATATGTCTTTAATTAAGGGGAAAAAGAGTTTCGGTAAATATTTTTTCTTCTCGCACCAGAAAACACAAGAGAATCTGCAGATTTTCCAGTGTTCTTTAATAGAGAACAAGCTTGCAAAGCTACAGGATACATATTGCTATATACAGTATTCTTAATTATGCTTCAAAATCTGTCCTTTCTTTGTGACACTAACACTTTATATACAGAATTTCTTTTTCCATCTACCTTGGGAGTAGACACAGAGGTCAAGTCATGAGGGATTTATTCCAATAAAAAAGACTGTAATAGAACTTTTCTATTAATACCTGTATCCCTTGCTTCATAATCTAACGTAGAGGGTTAATATTCAACTTTACCTCCAACATTTTAGGAAAATTAAGTTTTCTGTGCCACACTATTCATTTATATGGTTAAACACTTGCTAAGTAACAACTTTCTTCTAGGGTTTATTTTCATTATGAAAGCACCAAATAACTTCAATCTAAGATACACTATTTATTTTTTATAACAGTGCCAAAAGTTTATTTGAAAAGTGAAGGGTAAATGGGGTAAGGAAGAACCTGTCTCTGCAGAGCAAATGAGCCAAAACAAAAGGAAAGGATAAAAGCAAAATTAAAAGTACACCTTGTGCCTGGGCACAGGGTGGGCTACGTGAAGAGTCAAGATAGCCTGGTATTTATTTTAAAAACTGCATCTCCTTGTAAAGGAGAACAACTTGTTACATAGAAAGCGCTCTGGCTAAATAATGCTCTGATCATAATGCTTTTCATGAAAGGACTCAGCCCTTCTCTGCTTACAAAGTAGGGCCTGAAATTCTCAATAGCCAAGGAGAGTCCTCAGTTACTTCTGAGTGTCTGGCTAACCTTCACAGGTTGCATCTGTAAGGCCATTTTAACAAATAGAAATTTTAAATATTATTTTCTATTATTGTATATTTTACTATACAATAAAATAATTATTTTCTACAACTACAGTACCACTGTAGTTCCCTTTACATTGTAAAATGTTTTAAAAGCTCAGAAATGTAATAGTCTTCTAAGTAATAGCCAATAAACAAAATCAGACTATCTACTGCTAGAGCCATATAAAGGGAAAGGTTCACTGAGTCTTTTGTGGACACAGCTGGTAAAGGAGTGTAGTTTGCAACAAATCTAAACTTGATGAATTCTATTCGGTGACATGAATAGAACCGCTAAGTTGCTGCTAACATACAGCATGATTACATTTGAATGAGAATTTTCTCCACTAAACTTTTATATTGCATTTGGGTGGTTGATAATATATCAGCCTGTAATATTTAAAGCAATGTGTAGATATAAATTACAAACTAATCTCAGGCAACAACAGGAACTATTAGGATATAACTCCTTTCAGAAAGGTAGCTTCCATCTGCCAAACTCTGGTACAAATATTTCACTTCCTAGCCAAAAATAAATTATTTGGCTAAAAAGCAACTTTTTTATGGTTTACATTTTTGATATCTTTATAAACTGAGTGAAGTTGAGAAGTACTATATGAAACCTACAGCTAAACATTTCTCTATTTAAAATCAAGGGAGAATATATTGAGAATCTTAATTTTTCAAAATTCTTAATCTAGTAGAGTTGAAAAGAAACAATACTACCTAAATTTTATGATCTAGCCCACAAGTTTAAAAGTTTCTGATACTTTTATCTACTCTTAAAAAAAAAAGCTTGTCACTATAAGATTAGAAATGTCTCAGTTTTATAACTGTCTGGTAACCCTATATACGCCAATGAGAAAAACCTAAAATGGGTACTAATTAGACTAACACCTACCTGTGCTTTCTGGAGCAGTTCAATTGTAAGAGGAAGCCAATCAGGAATGAGTTTCTCCATTTCCAAGCTAACCATGGCCAGAGCAAGCATGGATCCTTTGAATTGCAGAAGTTGGCTGCAGGCCATACAGTGAAGTAGCTGTTTGATAAGGACTGCCAAATGTAGAGACGGGCTCAAATTGGGCAAACTGAAAAGTAACTGCGGCCTAGTTGACACTGCAATGGAGTGGAACTGGGGGGGGAAAATCATAAGAATATCATTCCCATTTTACTTAAAATGTGTAGGAAATTATATATACAAATTAACATGACCTCTTCAGGTACTGCTTTTTAAGTTTGTCAGTTTCTAAATTATTAATTCAGTGATTTAGACATATATCCCTAATTTTTCAAGTTACTAAAACAGGACTATATATTCAAATAAGAAACAGTTTGGGTATATTTACAATGTGAAGAAAATCCAATGGTGTTGCTGTGTGAAGATCCCAATTCAACTTATCCAAAATAATTCTCTCCATTCTCAAAATTTCAGAAAAGGAACATCCACAGAAACTGTCTCTTGCCAATACCTTCAGTACTGGAATTTTCTATCCAGAGAAAAAGCAAACAGGGATAAGAGGGACATTTAAAATTTCTGTTTTGGCAAACAGATAGCAAGTTAATTTAAAAAATGAAATTTTCAAAAACAACTATTCATGAAAGGATTTATTACCTCATCCTCTTCAACAGTCTTGGCAGCTAGGAAAAAGCAGCTAATTGCAATACAACTCAAGTATTTTGGGTGGGCCTAAAAGTTTGAAAAGGTAAAAAGCAACTTTAGTGATTTTTAAAGAGTTTATTAACTTTTTATAACTTTTTAAAACTATGTGAATGAGACAAGTATGCAGGCAATTCCATAGAATTCAATTTGATTACTTTCTAGATGAAAGCTAACATTTAACATCACAACCCTAGCCATGTGGTATTCTACAGGAATAAAATTATTCCATGCTGGAAGTTCAACCAAAGTCAGTTAGACAACAGGCCGGGGATTTAGCTCAGTGGTTTCGGCACCTGCTGCGCAAGCGCAAAGACCCAAGTTCGATCCCTGGTACCAAAAAAAATAAAATAAAGTCAGTTAGACAAAGCTAAATTTCCATTCAGCAGAGGAAAGCCTAATAGTGAAGGTAAGTCTCTAGTTAATAAATGTTAACAAAATTTAAAAGTATATTTTTATGTGTGCATATATCTATTTTCTTAAAGCTAGTTTTATTCTCTACCTAACAAAATATCAGTAATATACTAGTGTCAAGAAAGTTAAAAAGAAAATATAAAAGAATATTAGTACACTGCAAATGCTTTTTTAAAAAAATCACATAATGCTAGCAGAAAAGAAGAAATTTTCTAATTATTAAGTGTCCACCCCCCCACACACCCCTATATTCAAATGTCATAAGAATGAAATGGTCCTCAATTTAGTGGTTAAAAATTCAAGTTTGACAAACACATGATAAGTTCAATTTGCCCAGTTTCCTATCTATAAGGCAGACCCACTCTCGAGGTATATGCCAATGCAATACCAGAGTGTAAAAAACAATTCAGTCCAATTAAATTCAACACAGATCATTTAGATAACAGATACACAATACAAGAACAGTAAAACCTGTTTCAACATTTACTTTATACTTAAATAAGTAACAAACATGCCAATGACCACTGTCTCAGTATAAGTGGCTTACAGTCCAGGAATCGAAATTTCAATCCTGTGCTCACATGAGAAATAAAAGTTGTTTCAATACTAACAATATTTTTATTATCAATCAAAGCATCAAGTCAAAAAAAATCAATCAAGTTAAAAAAGCACTTTCAAAAATAGTATCATGTCTATTATAACTTCATCCTACAGGTGAGAAAAAAGTCTCAGAGCCCAAGGGAGACAACAGAGGTGATCTATGAAATAAAATCAGGTTCTGCTACTAGGATAATTTTCCAGGATCCTTTATTTCTCCACGTAAAATATAAAATCTCACATCTATGAGGTAATCTAGGTTCATTACAAAGAAAAGAACAGTAAACAACTTTGGCTGGGCAATATAATCTCTAAATCAAGGGTACCAATAAAAAAATTTAGTAATAAGCCACCTGTGGTGGTGCACGCCTGTAATCTCAGCAGTTGGGAGGCTGAGAAAGGAGGATCACCTGGGCTACATAGCTCAAGGTCAGCCTGAACTACATAGTGAAACCCTGTCTCAACCCCCCCCCCCAAAAAAAAAAATCACACAGCAAAAGAATTTAGTAAGAGGCTGGGGATTTAGCTCAGTGGTTCTGGCGCCTGCCTTAAAAGCACAAGGTCCCGAGTTCAATCCCTGGTACCAAAAAAAAAAAAAAAAAAAAATTTAGTAAGAAAAAGAATCCCAATAGTAAATGTGTAATTTAAAAAGCAAACAGTAGTTCTTGAATCTGGCTGTGTATTAAATTCATCTGTGCCTGGACCAGGGATTTAGCTCAGTGGTTCCACTGCCAGCCTTGCAAGCGCAAGGACCCGAGTTCGATCCCCCGTACCAAAAAAAAAAAAAAAATCATCTGTGCTTGTTTTTTCCTTAAATACAGATAAACAGTATCTCATCTAACAGAGAACTGGATTCATGAGGTCTAGAACAGGGCCCAGGTCTTTTGTTGTTTTGAAAACTAAAGCCAGGGCCTTTGTGCATGCTAAGCAAACACTCTACCACTGAGTCACACCCCTGGGTTCCTTATTTTTACTTTTTGTGGTACCCAGGCCTCATCCATCCTAGGTAAGCACTCTACCATTGAGCTGCCTCCCTAGCTCCTTATTTCTGAAGCACTTCATAGTGACATTTATAGAGGACTGAGGCTCCCAGAGGCTCCATTCACTGTTGCAGCCTTTTTTTTTCTGCCATAAGTGCCTTTATTTAAACTACATTCTAGACTGTTTTAAAATTATTTCCAAAATTTCCCTAAATATTTTTAAAATGTTTAATAAGCACAGGAAGTATTTCTTTTATGATAAGAGATTCATTAGCTTGTTAATAATTTCTGAAAAATGTATAACCCAAGCATGACCACTATCCTTAAACACACCTTTCTATGGAGCTATTTGTGAAAGGGAAGTTAACTGTGGTATCAAGGGAGGTGGGGAAGAAGACAGTGCTACAAGTACAGTTTTCAGATTACCCAGATTTCAAGTAATTAGCATCATTATAATTAAGGGTTCTTTAAGTCTCTTTAAGAGTGGAAATCTAGAGGCCAGGGATTTAGCTCAGTGGTTCTGCCACCTGCCTCGCAAGCGCAAGGATGCGAGTTTGATCCCCAGGACCGAAAAAAAAAGAGTGGAAGTCTAAGCCCGGGGATTTAGCTCAGTGGTTCCGCTGCCTGCCTTGAAAGTGCAAGGACCCAAGTTTGATCCCCGGTACCAAAAATAAAAAAAAAAGTGGAAGTCTGAAACATAAAATGATAACTGAATGGCTATTCAAAAATCTTACACTCCAGGGGCCGGGGATTTTAGCTCAGTGGTTCCGGTGCCTGCCTCACAAGCACAAGGTCTCAAGTTCAATCCCCGGTACCAAAAAAACAAAACCAAAAATCTTACACTCCATACTCTTTGCTGTATTAGTTAGTTTCTTTTGCTGGGACATAATACCTGACACCCACAAGTTATTAAAGGAGGAAAGGCAGCGCAGCATGGCAGGGGAGAAACAGTACACAGTATGCAGGCAGGGGCCGCTAAGCAGCAAGCCTTCCTTTCCTGTTTTATTCCATTCCGGCTACAAGCCTACTGATTGGTACCATCCACACCCAGAATGGGCCTTCTCACTATCCACACTTGGAACTAGGCAAACCCATCAGCGAACTAATCGTTTATCGCACACCCATGATCCAGCCACCTCCCAAAAGCCCAACCCCTATGAGCACATGAGGCTTTGAAGGGACACCTAAACACAAGCTATAACACCCAGTAACACTGCATTTAATTCAGTTTATATAGTCCTAAGCACATAAATGAACTGCTTTTCTACTCTTTCATGCTTTGCTAAATAAATGGCAAGTTTTTGTTTAAATCTGTTGTGAGCCTACTATGACATAATAGAGCCAATGACATACTACAATAGGGACAATGTAAAATCTGATTATATAAAAATATATTTTTATATGCTGCCATTAATAAAAATATACCAAGTTTGTTTGTTTATTTGTTTTGAGACAGGGTCTCACTATGTAGTTCAGGCTGGCCTTGAACGCATGCCAACCCTCCTGCCTCAGCCCCCAAGTGCTGGCATTACAGGTGTGTGCCACCATGCCCAGCTTCAAAATTATTTTATGACATCTCTACATCCCAAAGTATGCCCATGGGAAGTATGTACATATGGTCCAGAAAATCACACTATATACAGTTAATAAGCAACAGAAAAATTTTAAAAAGGCTTTTACTTTTCTGATTGACTGTCTACTTCTATAGTACTCCAAAGTTAGAGATGACTAGATAATCTACCAATGCTACATGGTTTGTAATAAAACAATATATAAACATAAGAGTACTTGATGCAAAAAGAAAATTATAGAATTAGAAACAAAAAAATTACAATGGTAGAAGATACCATGTCTTCATTTGGGTACATATACCATTCTGCAGGAAAGTTTTCTATTTCTTTCTACTTTATAGCACTTTATTAAATGCCTTTTGTTTAACATATAAACCCCCAAATTGAGAGTCATACGTAAGTGTATTTTAAAATATTTACCTTTACAGTAGCTAAAAACCTGTCCAAAAGACTGCTAGCCAGAGCAAATGTTTCTGGGTAAAGGTTGAATTGGTACTTGAGTTTGGCCAGCCACTGAATTACTTCATCTCTCTGGGATGGAGAAACACTCTACAAAGGAATAATTACAAAACAAAGTTATAAGAAAAGACAGCAAAAAGTTTCAGTTATCAAGAGTATATTTAGAATTCACACTCATAAATGTTAGCAAATATTACAGAAAAATGCATTTATGTTAAAAATGTTACAAAGGTTATTCAAAACTATACGAGATAGATGAAGATAAAACTTTATATAAGTTATCATATTTAGTATCAATATCCAATACTTTTACTGTACTAAAATTTTCACTATGTCACCTCACCTAATATTTACAGTTTGAACTGAGATGTTCAGGGAACTTTTTTGGGGGGTGGTGCACTGGCGATCAAATCCAGGGCTTCACTCATGCTAGGTAAATGCTATATACCACTGAGTTACATTCCTAGCCCAGGAATACAACATTTTAAAACTTTAATTATCAACTGATAATTAAGTTTTCCCAACTCTTGATATTAATAAAATATCTAAGGGAGCAAATAGTGACTACCTTGTCGCAGAAAATATAAATGGACCATGTTAACAGAATGACAGCCATTAAAACCAAAAATAATCAGTATTAATAAAGGAAAAATACCAGAAACAAATGAACCACAGTTAACGATGAAGAAAAACTACAGACAAGGATAATGACCTGAGCTAGATTATTACTTGCAAAGACTACCATAAACAGAAACAATTTTGTTTTGCTCTTCCTGCATTTTACTTATTTAAAGGGTACCCAGGCTGACCTCAAACTCCTGGGTTCAAGCAATCCTCCTGCCTCAGCACGAGACTACAAGCATGTGTTGCTGCATCTGGCTCTACTGTTTTTTGTTTGTTCTTTTGTCTTCACACTGGGCTACATCCCAAGCCCTTTTTGTACTAAAAGTGTGCACCACCACAGCCAGCTCTACACACACTTTAAAGCAAAAAATGATTTAGATTCCTTTACTCTGGAGTTTCAGTCACTAACAACTAGAAATCACTAGTGCTAAATAAAAGATCCTTATGAGTACTACTGATGGGTAAATGCACATCGAAGTACAGAAATGACAGTATGTCTGTGATGAGCTGGAAAAGGGTGTTGTTTTTGAGGGAGGGTTCCAGACAAGTGAAGATAATCCAAGCAATGCAGGTCTTTATCCTCTAACTATTTTTGAAACAGTTCTTATCTTCTTCCTTGGAAAGTATAGTAACCATAGCTTAAACCTTTTTCCTGGTAATCAATTTTTCTTTTTGTGGTAGTGCTGGAGATTACATCCAGGACATTTGCACTGAGCTACATTCCCAGCCCTTCTTTGATTTTTTGAGATAGGGTCTTGCTGCTGCATTAAGATATCCAAGCTGGGCTCAAACTTGTGATAATCCTGCCTCACAATGCCTGTGCTGGGATTACAGTCATGTGCAACCATGCCTGGCTCTGAGTGTCAACTTTATAAAATTAATTCTTTAATCATAAAAAGATGCATTAATACCTATTAGAGCATTAAGTTATTTATCTTGACAATATAGCTCCTCAAATTTTAGTTGCAATTTTTTTCATTTTTCTTGGCTTTCTCTAGTATTATGGGGAATACATGACTTGCTGCCCAGATTCTCTCCCACTGCATCTACTAATTGCTCATTTTATTCTCATTTTACTTTTCGGCTTTGGCATGACAAAGTATTCTTCTGTTAGCTAAACCAAGTAGTAATACATAATTTTTACATCTAGCTCTAAACTCAGTTATTAGCTGATCTTTTCAAAGGTTATTTACCATGCATCCACCTTTTTCTGGCCAATTCCCTTTGAAATGATCAACAATAAGGTACAAGAAATACTAGAGAGGGAGGGGACATAAAAAGAATTAAGACATGTTGTGTACATGTACCAACTCCCCATGATAAATATAATCACTATGTACTGCAAACATGTACTAATAAAAATTCTGAAAGAGTGAAGGCTGTGGGTTTCTTCAGTGCCCCCCCAAAAAAGGTATAAGATCCTAAGAGAATATTACTACTGAAAATAAATTTAAACACTTTCTGACACAATTAAAAAAGTCACAGTAATAAAAAAATACACTTTACAATCTCGTGTTAGTATCTGATTACTAAGGTGATAAATGAAAAAAAATATCCCTGCTTATACATCAAAACTTAAACCTTATGGTGAGAGCTCAGTTTTGATTTCTAAGTGAATGAGTCAGGGTGATCAAGGAAGAGTCCTGGTATTTAAGCCTGTGAACTTTACTCTGAAAGACACAAATGATGTCAACCTCAAGGCAGCAAATACAGTTAAGCTCTTCAGATTTGCAAATAAAATCAAAGTGGGTAAAACAGACTGCTGGAAACTTTTAATCTGAGAATCAGTCATATAATTCTATAAATCAAAAAGGGAACAAGAATTTAAGGAAGTTCATGGGCTAAAGCCATGGGTTTGATGGGTTTTCAATTCATAGAACAACAGAATTTATATCCTACAGACAAGACAGACTACTGTCTGGTATGGCTGAAGAAACTAGAGTAAGGTTATTAAGGCTGTGAGTTAGATTATCCCTCTCACAAAAAGAGACTGAAAAAGGCAGTGAAACACCAGTTTGGAGCTATGGCTTCTTTAGGAGGTGAGAGGAAGCAGACACAGCTTTACAGCTAGGATGCAGATCAAGTATTTGTTAGCATGGTCCTTAATTCTAAAATCTCTCACAAGTTCACAGAGCCCAGAGGTACTACTCTAAGATCTAGTTCTGCCTTAAAGGTTCCTGGGAATCAAGGCAGTAATAAACCTTCTAGGAGAGTTTAAGCACTGAAGAGAAGGAAAAGCAATGTTGAGTAAGCCAGCCAAACAAATGATGAAGAAACAAGTTAACAAAAGGGAGGTTGGTAGTGATATAATCTGATGAAACTGGGGAGACTTAGGAAAATGAAAGGAACAATGATCTAAAGTAGAAATGAGAAATAATACTAACTCTAATTTCAGGTCAGAGATACAATAGGGGGGATATGGAAGAAAAACATTCCTGAATAATAATACATTAAATAATCTCATTATTTGGTGTTTAAACAACACAAACAAAATTTTAAGAAGTACCACAAACGACATATAATGAAAAGGTTATCATATCATGGTTATAAGTGATAGAAATTATGTAAAGAAACATACATAATGAAAAAGGCACTAAATATTATTTTCTCCTTTCCTATCACAACTATTTGATTTTCTAATGACCGAAAAAAACTTATAACAAATTATTCATGAATAATTCTTTTAAACATAATTAGTCATGAAAGAGTTCATGAATAGGACCAAGAAAACACCATTACTAGCCAAAATTAGCAGTATGACAACCCCTCCCAACAAAAGATAATAGTTTGACAATATTGACAGCTAAGTTAGGGTGAAATATTATAGGTAGTCAGATACAGACAAGCCACAAGTCAGGACAGAGATAAAAAAAACATTACTGTTGGAGACTAGGCCTTTAGATAAAGACCAAAGGACCAGGCCTGCATACTTCCCCAAAGGATAAGATAAGCAGTAACATCTGGCCCAATGAAGTCTAGATAGACATCAGTCATCCCGGTGGGTAACCAAGGACCCATCATTTCCTAGAAAAAGTCTTTGTTCTTTCCATGCACACTTGTTATGTGACTTGTTTCCCCACTGGATCGCTATTACCTAAGCATCTATACTTATAACCTTGTACCCAGTGGTTTTTGTGCTATAAAACTTCCCTGCAAAGTGGGGTCGTTGGCTACCCATCTGAGACCCTTCCTGCCTCTCAGGAGCTATCCTCTCAAAAAATATTCCTTACATTTAGCCTCCATTGTTCCTAGAATTCATTCTTCGATTTTAGAGAACATGTACTTGGCATATCAGACATCTAACAGGTTGGGAATTATAATATTTCCCTTATATCATTTGGAGGTCCTATTTCATCTCCTACATCACCTCTGTATCAGTAAGACTCACCCTTACTGAAATAATACTAATTCAAAGATCATTTTTTCAAATAAATTCAAACATAACTTTACAGAAAGTTCCATGCCTAAAGTAACTCTATTCCCATGTTCCTAGTAATGTTTTCACTTTTTTCTAGATTTCCTTTTTGGTACCTGGGATCAAACTTGGGTCCTTGTGCTTGTGAGGCAGGTGGTGGAACAACTGAGCTAAATCCCTGGCCCCTAGTAATCTTTTTAAAAAGAATGAGAGAGAGAGAAAGAAAGCAAGCTCCAGATAGTATTTTCTGATTTTATCAAAGGAATTGTTTTTACCTATGTGGATTGCTCAATAGGACTGAGGATTCAGTAAACTGGTTAAAGAGCTAATCCGAAAGAGAATTTATAATGTATTCAACTGGCGAAACACATATATATCCACATGCTACTGGTCTCTTTATTAAACACAAATCATCAGATATAAAGTGTTGTGGGGAGCAGATAGAAAGGTAATGATAGGTACAGAATATTCATTCCTGATCATGCTGTCCTGATTTCTGGGACAGGGGGTGTAAATTATAAGAAAATTGTGAGAGAATGGTCTTGAAGGAGACTAGGTGGGAAAAGGGGAGAACAAAAAAGGGAATGAGTAAAGTATAAAATGAGCTTTAAAATATTTTATTTTCCATTTTTTGTCAGCATTTCCAGAAAAAAGTAAATAAAAAAAGTTGAAATAGCTGGGCATTAACGGACAGGCCTATCATCCCAGCGCTTAGAAGGAAGCTGAGGCAGAAGGATCACTGCAAGTTCGAGGCCAGCCTGGGTTACATGGTGAGTTCAAGCCAGCCTGAACTAAGTGTCTCGAAAAAAAACGTTGAAACATGGAAAAGAAAGTAAAAAAGCCAATCTCTGAGAGTGGCAGAAAAAAATAAAACAAAGGAATTAAACAAGTTATTCTGACAAGCATGTCAAGCCCCCTTAGCTTTTTATGTCTTCTCTACTAACCTCATCAGGCCAAGCTCATTCAAATTTTCCAAGTATTAAGTACAATTTCTACTTGGTATTACTAAAGGCAAATCTTTAAGCAGTGCATCCCTCTCAGAAGTTGTGAT